CGACAAGTTACGTATCCGAACTTTGAACATACGGCATGTTGAGGATATGATTACAAAACTCTCGGGGGATACACCTGTAAGTGTGGATATAGAAAAAGATCTCGACGTCGCTTGGGTAGTATCTGCTGGTTTAGACGATGCAGTTTGGCATTACGCCCGTGTGCAAAGGCTTGCAACGACTATCCTAGGATTAGAAAACAACCCAAAAATCATAGATGGGCCAACATTTTGGAAAGCTCAACAGCTGCTCTCCGAAAGTGACAATGCAAAGTTTTCTTGGGGAGCAGCAGAGTTGAAGGAGGAAGACAATGATGTGAACAAGATGCTTGATGAGATCAACGACTCGCCGAAAAAGACAGATATCAAAGAAAAGCTCAAGCAAATTCGAAAAACGTGTACTCCTCATGAGAAGAAGCTGCTCGGGGGTGTCGTCATACCGTCGGATATTCATACCAAGTTCGAAGATGTTCACGCTCCAAAGGAGACTGTAGAGGCACTAAAAACATTGACCAGTTTGTCATTGATACGACCAGAGGCTTTCACTTATGGTGTTTTGGCTACTGATAAAATGCCTGGTTTGCTCTTATATGGACCCCCTGGAACCGGTAAGACGTTACTGGCTAAAGCAGTAGCGAAAGAGAGTGGCGCAACAGTTCTTGAAATTAGTGGTGCTGAAGTGAACGATATGTATGTTGGTGAAGGTGAGAAGAATGTTCGAGCCATCTTTTCACTAGCCAAGAAACTTTCGCCCTGTGTTGTGTTTATCGATGAGGCAGATGCTATATTCGCTGCCCGTGGTGACACCAAACGCTCAACTGCTCATAGAGAGATGATTAATCAATTTCTACGAGAATGGGATGGTATGAACGATTTATCTGCCTTCATCATGGTCGCTACCAATCGACCATTTGACCTCGATGAAGCTGTACTTCGCCGACTGCCTCGAAGACTTCTGGTTGACTTGCCAGTCGAAAAGGATCGCGAGTCTATTCTCAAGATCCACCTCAAAGATGAGATTATCGATTCGTCAGTGTCTTTTGCCGAACTTGCGAAAAACACACCCTTCTACTCTGGATCGGATTTGAAGAACCTTTCGGTCGCAGCTGCATTGGCATGTATCAGAGAAGAAAATGAACTTGCCACTAAGCATGAAGGCGATACCCCTTACACATACCCTGAGAAACGTATCCTCACCAAGCAACATTTCGACAAAGCAATGGAGGAAATTAGCGCAAGTATCAGCGAGGATATGAGCACGCTCTCTGCAATCCGCAAGTTTGACGAGAAATACGGTGATAGGAAGGGAAGGAGGAAGAAGAGTGCTGGATTGGGCTTCGGTGGTACGACAGTTCCGGAAAAGGATTCCGAGGCGGGAAGAGTAAGGAAATCACCAGTGGCGGCGTAGATACAAGGGGCATATATTTAAGTGCGGTTAGAGGTACATATGGCTCGCATTTGGGGCTTTGCATCGGCGGCGTGCGTATCGCATTCACGAATTGCATGATAGGGCGTCACGGTCATCGTATAATATGTAGCTGGGAAGGCAAATGCTATGTTACACATAATTTTGTAGCAATAAACTAGATCACGACTTGACGTTACCGTCTTCTTTGATGATGGATCGATTATGTGCGCGATAGAACGATTTATCGATGATGGTACTCGTACAGGTTTTCCCTCCATGAACGTAGTTTAAATGTATCATTAACATTGGATCCCAAGCACAATGGCGGACACTAGGAAATTCGGTGTTCAATAATACATTCACAACGGATTTACACTCCCCTCCTAATCTTGTCTTAGGCTCAAGGAGAATATAGGCACTCGATGATATCTACTTTCGGACGCTTCTTGTCTCGCTCCTGCCTCATAATATAGTCTTTTCATTCCCTCCTTGATATAGAGACGGAAGAATCCATCATATGATTTGTAGTCAATCCGAAGTTATCATGTGAAATCTGGTATTTGCGTATCTCTTTTCCTACTTTTTGCGTCCCCTTTCCGTTTCGTCTTTTGATCGATTCAGAACTTCTCACGTGGTATTGACAATCTATTTTAAATCCGGCTCTTCTTTCCTCTTGTATAGATGGAAAAACTCTATCCTTTTACTCCTTTCGAAACATGACCTGTTTATCCTCACCTTCCTTGACGGGCGCAGAAACGAACTAAATACATGATTCATTTGTGGAGAAAGGTATGATGATCTGAAGTCATGGTTTGAAGAATATCATGTCAAATTCTGAATCGCTTGTCTTCTTCCTTCTCACTCCTCTCTTCCCCCTGCTCTCTTAAAACCTACTATCTATGTAGAGATTGAAATTCTATTTCTTGTTGTATTTGGTTTCCTATTGAATTGAAGAACTGTTTCCCTTTTCCTGTATGTTCACCTCTTTTATTTCTTTTTGGTATTATACTTCACCTTTTTTCTTCTTTCATACACATCAAAGTACTCAATTCCTCTCCTTAAACCACGGAGAATACTATAAATCCAGAGGAAATCATCACTTCCAAATCAATCGTAAAATGCACGTGCAAGGATTACAGAGAATTCACTTGCCGTATTGATGTATCAGCAAATGAAACTTTTAGTTCCCGCTCAACTGTTGACAAAAAGCTAGGATGGACCTTCGAGGTATCAATGCTTATTAGTATTAAGCATAATAAAAAGTACTGACATTTAAGTAGAAGCCGAGGATAGGAATATGACTATGCGATGCGAAGGATATAAAAAGACTAGTAGTCTCACAGTAAGTGCCGTTCCACAGCTCATGCGATACGGAGCTTAAAAAGCGCGGAGGAACATCCCAGCCGGTTTGACGGAATTGACAGGCGAGTTCATGATTAATTACCATAGGTTAGCGAATCAATGAACTAGAGGGTTTCCCTCTCTTTAACGCTTTGAGGCCGTTTCGAAACGGTTCCCCAACTCCCCTGAAACTGTCAACTAGTTTTTCGCGTGCATGGTCCTCGTGATATTTCTTGGCGACAACCAATTGTTAACGGCCTCGACCATACGGTTGGTACAGTGCGACGTTCTTCGTCGTACACATGTTAGTTCTGAAGATCCATCGATCAGTAATGAACTTGGCATCGGTTTTGGCGTCATTTTGCACAATTCCAAGACTTCTACTTCGGAATGGACTAGACGCATGCAGAATGACCATTATGATTTATGAAAGTAATACCCACCATGCTTTGGCCACGATTTTGCTTCTACATTCTCTGGCAGAAGGCCCCTTTTCCTATCTCTTCTATTTTTCAATTAATAATTTTAATCGATTTGTTCAGCCTGGTTGCTGCGTGCTTGTATAACTGCTTCATATGATATATACTTAATAAATTCATCTCTTCATCAATTCGTGGCCTATAACCCTTCAAGATGCAGCCACTTACTCTCTTGGTCTTGCTTTTTGCAAGCACATCTTTCGCCGCGACCCCCACGACTACTTCAGCAGCAAAGGCCGCTTCGCAAGCAGCAGCTGTTAAAATTGCTACACCCAAAGTCCTCAAACCTGCAACTCCACCTACCGCAAACGATGTAAAAAATTCACTTGATAACTGGGCCACATCTGTCAATACTGTCAATGAATATCGTAGGTCTCCCCTTCTCAGTTTAGAAACCTAGTTACCCAGTCTAACCACATTCACAGTCGACGACCCCAACAACTCCACCAAACTCAAGACCGCCATCGCCTTTGCCAAAGACGAGCCCGTCCAGCTTGCCACCTTGATGAAAACCCCCAATCTCTCCTCAGACGGTATTAAATCTGCCAAGGTTCTCATGGCCAATTTTCCCTCCATCGTCTCCAATCTCCAAAACGTGTATACAGGAGTCATGACTACACAAGATGCCACCATGGCTGTAAATTTCAACCGATGCTGCACCGTGCTTCCAAACATCGGGAGTCTCTGGGCTGCAGCCACGAATGCGAGTAAGGTGCAAGAGAGCCCGCCTCCAAATCTGGAAGCGCAATGCGGAATGATGAATTGTAATGCGGGAGTTAGTGGAGCGCAGACTCAGGCGATGTCAAATGTGACGGGGTCGGCGATGGCATCGGGTCTTGCTCGGGTGAGATGAATCACGAGATACGAGAGATGGGAAGAGTTTGGGGTGGTTTGAATTGGCTAGTAAAAATGACCTTCTGGTGGCGCGACTTGCGCGCATTTTGAATTTATATACTGTATATTACTGGTGTATTTGGATAGAAGAATAAAAATATCAAAATAAATATATTGACTTGCTGTTTGTTGTCACACTGTTGTTGCGCTGTAGCTATGGTTTGACAAATGCGACAAACATGTATTCTCCGTACCTGCGTCATCGCTCATTAAATACAAACTTTTTCAGAATCCAAGCAGTTGAACTTGGGAAGGGGATAACAGATGGAATCGCATTCATATGTAAATTGAAGTTGTTTTCTTACTGGTTATGTGGTTGGTGGCTATTGAACAATCCAAAGAGACCCACAAAAAAATTATTTCACATATCGGCTCGAATCTGGAAGGGCAAAAAGAGCAAAAAATTCTGTTCTCAGTATAATCAGCAGCCAAGGACTGAGATACCGCCATGATAGCGGGTAGAAGTCAAAATTACAACATAGAATATTTAAAGCAGCCCCGAAACCCACTGTAAAGCCAAAGTCCCCACATATGACAGATTATCCTCGAAAGGACTTTGCATCAGCCTTGCGCGAAACGAGCCACGCCAGGCCTCTATTCGAGATGGTATGTTTAACCACTACACCATCGGAGTGCACAACCATGTTGGCATGGTTGGTTGAGAAAGTGACATCAGAATAGGTTATATCCATCTTCTTTGTGTGGAATGGTGAATGGAACGGAGTATATAGAGACCGACCAATTTGAACTATGCGGCATATTGTATACCGCCATTGTTTGCCATCACATAATCAAATCCACCCACACTGATATCTTATTTAATACCATCAACAGTACTACCCCACATTCGATCACTAACTGTAGCAAGCTTACGGGAGAAGATGGAGGTACGAAGCTTCACCGATTATTTGCCTGCCATTTCGCATGAAGATAACTATTGCTGACAAGATCGCACATCAGCTTGTTAAAGTAGACCGGGAACGACACACTGCGTCCATGATGACGATGGCGAGCGCGTTGAGATTTCCTCGCATGACCAACAACTTTCACAAACTTGTCAATGAAGTAGGCTATCTAGCATTCGCCACTCACGTATGCGACTTCAATGAATTTGAACTTCTCAGCAAGAAATCTAAGCGCAATAAACCAAACAAAAGAGTGTACTTTGTGACACAGAAAGAAGTCGATGAGGCTTGGCGCGCGCTGTGCGAAAGCACTTTTGCAGTATGGCCAACACCAGAAGATTGGTCAGAGGAGCGAAAGCAAAAGTATCTTGAGACACAACTGAGCCAGGTATGAGCCAACTCTCGCGGATACCTTTGAGAGGCTTAATGCAATACTGACCTCTTTAAGCCAAGATTGAATAACGCCGAACGGTTCTGGGCGAATAGAAGACGCCTGGTCTCCAAGACAAAGATCCGCAAAAAGGTAAGGCACAGAAGAAGAATCATTTGTACAAACTGGTTAACAGAGCGATAGCACGCTGCTGAAAACCTTGCTTGGTCGAATAAAATACGGCTATCTCTCAGCTCAAAGACTATTGGAAGGGTACGGCGTAAATGATACAATATAAGCAAACTTAGCTGAAGAAACATAGGGTGCACTTTCCAAATTACAAACGGTGGATGAGGCCGGCGAGACGAACGATAAGGTAATTTCGAAGATATCAACGACTGAGCAACAAGGAAAGCTGGCTGTTGAATCGACTCTTGACAAACTAGAAACTGCTGCATCTTTAGGCGCGAACGATCCAGGAGTGATGATGACCGAAAAGCAGGGCAGATTAGCAGAGCGACTGTCCGTTGTGCAGTTGGATGATGTCGACTCCAGGAATGATGTGTTTGGCGATGACGACGGGGATATTTGTATGGATTAGTCGAGTAAATACAGAACGCCACGCTCAGAGAACATTTTTGGCATTAAATAGAGAATTATGGCATTGGTGGGTTGAGAATTTATGTCTATAGGGGTAGCAAAAGACTTGTGCAGATGGGTAGCGGGGGTTAATAGTAATAATGTTATGTGTCTTGAAGCTCAATAAAGCCTTTTCTTTCAAGCCACTTGACTTCTGCCTTCTTCGCATTGGCTATATAGATGGGGAATCGCTCCAAGGTTTCCTTAGCCAGTCTGCCACTACCGAGCCTTTCGATAGAGGCTGTCTACGAAGTCTGAGATACCGCAGCATTATTGACTTTTCCCGAAAGAGTAGGACTGTCACTTGCTCAGATACAAAGAACAAAAGAACGGAAATCTCATTGGAAAGTTCCAAGTCATTGGTCTCGTTACACTTCATAATAAGCTGTGTACTATCATTTCTCCTAGGCAAACACAAGACAAAAGCAAATCATTGGGAAAGGTCTACAAGAATTTCAAATTCATTGATGCAGATCAACAATATAACTGCAAGTCATGGTAGGGAGTTGGCTTCGCTTGAAGGGGTTAGATCCTTGCCCTCCAGGAAATGGTGGTACAATGGTCCATATTTCCATCCCACACAAGCTCAACTACTCAGACGCTTGACATTGCTCGGAGTGTCAAAGTAATGTTGTCAATTCAAGCATAATGCATTACAAAAATAAGCTTTTCGTACGACCGTAGCGTCGGGTTTCTCTCCACGTATTTCCGCCGTATCTGACGGTGCGTACCCTCAACGAAAGCTGTCATCAACTATAACCCGGCTGATCTTAGCTTTTGAGATATCTTTCTATGAATCTTCTACCCGGTGATTAGTTTCACTCCAGATGCATGGACGTACCGACGTTTAGATGTGTAAGCTTTGATTAGGGATGAAGCTACTAGGTATGTGTTCATATATTTGTAAGGATGAAAGCAGCGGTACACTGTACGCCATACATGTGAGCTACCGAGTAGTCTCGGAGACTTACGCTATTTGAATCTCAGAAAAATCATTTGACATCTTGAGTTCTGTTTGAAGTGACGGATGTCATAGCTCGAGAACCAAAGCGGAAAATTTTCGTCGAGGTTCGTGTAGAAATGTCACGTGCTGTTATAAGTCCGAGATTTACCCGCTGCAGGACAACTCGGGACTGGGAGTGTAGAAACAAAATTGAGGCCCCTTGTAACCTCCCTTCCCTCGAAAATGTTTTTGAATCACAAGATCGAGCTGTACTAACATAATTTCACGTTTTCTAGCTTCTCACATGCATTCAATTCAGAGACAGGTTGTTGACTAGTGGATAATTACTGCAATACAAGAGCTTAGAATCAAAGTAACGTGTATAATTACGAGTAGACGGAGAAAATCTTGCAAGAATGACTCTAGGGAAGGAGGGGGCAAACTCGATTGTACTAAATGTGTTTAATCTGTTTATCAGCGACTATGTATAGTACTCAAGTTGGTGCTAGCTATTGCGCTGTTATGATTGGTAGGGTATCTTGGGAACACGATGCAAAATGGCATGGCATGGGGTCAGATGAGATGGTTGATAATATGATACATGTTGATGACAATAGTGAGTTATTGGTAGCATGTTGCGACTAGCTCTATAGTCATTTATGGTGCTACGTATACTTGGGCTTCATGGATGCTAGTTTGAATGTGTACTGATGACAAGGATGTAAATATAGATGGACAGAACATTCATTTGGAGATGATAAGAAATTGGGTGACTCTTGTCAGTGAAGCAAATAGTAGGAGCATACTTGGGTAATGAAAAAAGTTTGTAGCATTGATAATTGATACGCATTTGTAATTCATGACTACACAAAACGAGTGGATAGCGTATGATATATGGATTTGCAAGTGATGTATGTGCGAGCAATGGAAACCTTATAGTAACGAAGGTGGATAGAGTATGTAAATGTCTCTATCACTCGAGTTACATTGTGATTCAAACCAAGGTAGCTTGGGTGCAGAGTCATGCCATATTGGTCAATGTCATGTTGCGAGTAAAATCTGAATCAAACTAGACGATACTCCACTAATCGTTATTCAGGCTTTTCCACCCATGTAGAAATCTTTGGATGAGTACCTTTTGATGTATGACCTAGGATCGAATATCCAAAACGTTGAATTTCATTTAACGGTAAGATGGGTGCATGCTAGACTCTGCCAAATTCACGAACAAGGTGGAATAAGGCGTTAGACGGATGATCAATCAAGGGAGGGGCATTTCTCAATGTAGACTGGTAAATAGAAGAGTTGTATTTAATCCCAGAGAGGTGATATGTGATAGAATCCCGAAACTTCTGAACTAGGGTAGGATATTGAGAAGAGCTATTTTCAGAAAATGGTACACATTGTCAGTCCAAAATATTACTCCGATGAAGGGCATCATCTGATCTGCTTCTGATGCTCAAAATAAATCACCTCAACGAGAAGATCTCTTACAAATAGACTGAGCTTCCTATTCAAATGTGTATGGATGTTAAGAATTGCTGTTTTCGAATAGAAAGTCGGCGATCTGACTTCAGAGTGAAGTAGAGACATCAACATCTAGTGCCTGACGAAGTAGATGTAATCTTGGACTAGTGGAAAGTAGAGTAAATTCTTCGATCTATAGATCGATGTACCCCGCTCGAGCTTTCGAGTCTGGTCCTTCATGCCGAGTAAAGAAGATGCTAATCTCTTTGAGTAGTGGGCCATGCTTATTCGGCCAATTTGTTCAAGGTGACAATAACAAGATGCACACATACTATGGCACCTGCATTACCACCATTCGCTTGAGTTTAGTCTCATCATAGTTGAATTTGTCTTCCAGAATGTGTTCTAATATGCAATGAAATGTTACATGAGAAGCTTGAATGATTGATTGATAGCTTGGGAAGCATTGCATGCTATGATTCTGAAGACGAGCTAGGTAGATCTTGGTGGATGATGAGGGGAGGGTTATTAATAGTCCGATTGCGGGTCTGATAAACTAAGTTGCATGTGGAGTATCTTATTACTGTGGACCCGAGCTATCAAGCGCCCGGGTAGCCGGGGAACCGCTTGGAACAAAGACGGAAAGACTGGTATCTGACAGGACCGAACGAAGTGAAAAATACGCGTTTAGTCGAAATATATCCAACAGTTTTCTCATAAGCGACAAATATTTATCATGCAATCCACTTCCAACAGCGGCTCATTCGTACGCTGTATGCCAATCAAATGGTGCCATGAACATCTAAGATCGCAGACATCGGGCAAAGGAATGCGTAATGAGGGCCCGGTGCACACCTATCATTCGTGTCAGTACATTTATTGTCTTTTTGGGTAAGAATTTCCAAGCTAAATCATAAGATGATAGATCTTCGACGAATCTATGGCTTAATATTGAGCGAGTCCGATTTCGTAGATATGTGACGAGATATCTGGGGTGACTGTGACTGGTCAAAGGATCTAGATGCTCTATTTTTGTATGAATTAAAAGTTTTTTAAGAAGTGGAAATTTCGAGTCCTGTATTAACAAGGTCGCGATCGCATAGACGAATGTCAGTCGCCTTCATCTAGCCGATGTTCCGGCACTCGGCAAAAAGATCTGGAATTAAAAGGCGGTATTAATCGGTCGACAAGGGGCACATGGAATGAGTGGACAGGAAGACGACTTGGACAAAAGACCGGAACTTTACAAGGCCGTTTAATAATATACGGGAAGACTTCTACCGCTTTGAATGTTGAATGTCACATGAAGGTCGTTGAGATGTAACCCCGCCATTTGAGCAAATTGTGCCGAAAATAGCAAGTTACTCGGTAGAGATGCATATAATTTTCTATTTCGAGAGCAATTAGCTGGCATTTCGGTTGTATTACGGCAACTGACCAATTCGAGTGGATAAAATCTGCATCAATTAGCGGTTATTTATTGCTATCGAGGCAAAAACGAGATTATCCATGCCAGGTAAAATGGTCGGGGTACAATAAGTGGCTGGTAAAAGATCCGAATAAGATATCAACTCTCATCTTATTCACAGATGTTCAAAACATCGCATATAAGACTGATTAGAAAAATGGTCGGGACTGGCTCGGGTATGGGATAATTTCTGATTGCCACGAGAGTAGAGATAGATGCGGGATGTTTGAAGGTGGCGTTTCTACATCTGAAGGAATACACCTGTAAACAAGGGAATTCAATAATTGCGAGGATACCTAGAAAGCACAATCTGAAGGTTGTCATATGCTACAACCAGATTAGAAAAAGATGTTACGAGACTTCAGGTGATCAACTAACTTCGTCGTCTGATGGATCCACTGCGATAACAAAGTGAAGAACTCCCCAGGTTCAGATGATAATTCTCTTTAGCCTCGTCTCCTACTTTGAAAGTAAGAAATGGCGAAACAATGGAGGAATTCGAAAGATAGTTTTTCCGGTGAAGGAGTTCAAACTGCAGTCAGCACACCCCGACGGAACGTGGAAGTGCTCAGCCAAAAATTCTGAAGCATTCAAACAACTCCTCGAAACAATGTGAATACACTCCCACGTTTCCAACACATGGCAAATTGTCAATGCTCAGGAGGATTTTAAATGTACAGCAAGAAAATTAAATTGAAGGATAAAAAGGAGTTAGTCTTTTTTGTTTCTTGTTTCTTTTGGCTGATTGTGGTGTTTGTGATAATTGTTTCGTCTGAATCCTACAACCGTCCCCGTTTGATGTTCTGTACTAACTTCTATCTTTCCCTCTTTCCCCTCAAAATTCCACCCGTTCGTCTCATCTAGCGATCAAATATGAGGTAACATTTGACTTGAGTTAGCAGTAGCTTACCGTACCAAATAGATTAATTCGTAGTTGTTGGGCCCTTTTCCCCTCACTTTCTGAGCATCAATCAAAAGATCCTTAATCCATCGAGATTCTGCCACAAGGAAGATGTAGGCCATCAGGGAAAACGGTTCTTGTCAACCTGGTATTGATCAATGCCATGCCGGTAAAATTTTCATGTTCACAGGGCTACCCAGTAAAATATCTAGATGCTTGCAACTTTACAAGCCCGACCAAGATTGTCAGCATCTAACAAGGAAACTTAGCGATTATCTCCAAGAGTGCCGTATCTGTACAACAATTCAAGCATTGAAGCAAATACAATAGCTCATTTAGGTTTAAATGAATTAACCGCTCGGGAATTTCTGTCCATGAACAATTGCGGTACATGCTTACACCAAGAAAACGGTGAAATAAGGTCTGATAAGGATGCGGGAAAATGGAGGATGCGGGAAAATGGAAGATGCACGCTTACGACGACAGCCAAGATTTGTGAATCCCGATGTTGGATTGAAGATTGTTTTCGAGAAGAAGAAGTTTCTTGAATCCTAGGTACCCTCGGTACCTATATGTCGTATGGTACCTGCCTTGTCAGGTAGGGTAGTGTGGCATCGTAGCAGTGTTGCAGTGTAGCAATTCGATAAATGAGGTTATTTCCTTTTGTACAATCTTACCGTGGTACAAGTGAAAAGATACATGGAACTTCTCATTTCGTGCATATTATCGTGATGGAGAGGCCAACGAAGAAGAGGAGAATGATACCTATCGACAGCTAAAAAAAGCTACACGGTAAGGTCCCGGCACGAACAACGAATTTGTGCAACTCAGATATTGAAGTAGAAGGGTGGAGAATAGATCGTGTGGTTAAAATGGAAACTTTTAGATGAAGAGATCAAGGATTGTAAGAGAGTGACAAGCATTCATCTTGGTAAGAGGCGAGAAAGGCGTGAGAGGTAAGGTCGAGGCAAGCGATGGTTCGAGGGCACGTACGCCATCCGGCAACACTAGACCGGATTCTGATTAGTTTTGCATTCAAGCTTCTCCAGTCCCCTAGCTAGCTTCAATTCCAATTCTATTCTTGACTTCTTCTTTTTCTTCAACATTGACTGAGTGACATGCCGGTACCGAGAAGCGAGTATACGAGTGCACCAGTACACCAGTATGCCAGGTGCTTTCACTTCAAACGCCAACGACAGATAATCCTTGTTCTTTGCTATCTACCTACCTACCTACCTAGGTTCCCATATTCTCACACACTTTTAAGCTATCATCTGAGTCTCTATACACCCCTGGGTATACGTGAGGAAGGAAGGGAAAATTAGGACATACTATGGACGGAGTAAGATGCAAAAAGAAGTTCGAGGGGTTCGAGTCTTGGCTTATGGAGATGCAAGGTATCGTACATACCAAGAAAGCCAGAGAAAAGCCCTTGTCTGCAAGTCTGCAATGCAAGTCTGCAAGCCAAAAAGTGGAAAGAGGTACAGATGCCAGCATGAAAGAGATCCACATCTGTTTCTATTGTATCACTCTACAAGGTTCACGATTGTTTTTCTCTTCTCTTGTTTGATAACTACGTTACTAGGTACCATGTACTACCTACCTAGTCACTAGCTAATCCTCCGCATTGAGCTAGTATGTATCTTCAGGGTCCAGCTAAATTCACTAGGGCTTGTTTATTGCTCCCCTGCGGATTTATCAGATTCTCAATCGCATCAGTCTACCTCGATTTCTATAAGATATCATTTTTCTCCCTCACTTTTGGCAATGGATCAACAGCTTCCATTCGATCTTTATATCAAAGAATATTCACTTAACACAACTATATACAACCTTGATACCCGTATTCCAATCAACAGTATTCAATTGGTGCTTCCGATACATCTACGACAGCTTCAAATTTGGAGATTACATATAAAATAGAACCTTTCCCATCTTCAACTTGATCTCTCCTTCGTCTCTATCAACTCCCTCAATAAACTCAACCTATATCTCCAGTTTAACAAAACTGGTATCGACCATTACTTTAATATCGAATCAATATCCAACCCTCAATCTAGAATACAATCTTTCACGCCAACGACATTATGCACTCTATCAGCAGTCTCGTTCTCCTCTTGGCTTCGGCCGTTGTAGCTGTTCCAATCAGCACTGTTCAAGCCCTTGCTTCAAGTAAATATACTTGTGCGACACCATTACTACCTACTACTGGAGGTGCGCTTCTACTTTCTCAAGTTCACCATTTCAGGATAAACAAGCTAACATTATTCATTTGCAGCTGCGTCTGCTCTCCCAGTACCAACTGGCACCCTCGCCTATATTGCTCTCGGTCGTGGTATCCAAAATTATACCTGCTCCGCCATTGGTGCTACTCCAGTGGCTCTTGGTGCAGTCGCTAGCCTCTACGATGCAACCGACTACGCCAAGTGTGCCAGTACCGCATTGAATAATCTCCCAGGGATCGCTGTCTATACCAGTCTTCCCTCTACTAGTAGCGCTAGCTTCATGGGTCTCAAACCTCTGGGCAAGCACTTCTTCGATGCCAGTGGAACTCCAACATTCGACCTTTCATTTGTCAGCAAGATCTTGTACGCTGCCAAGACTGGTGACATTTCTCCTCCTATCAATTCCATTCCGGGACCTGCCAATACCGGTGCGGTTGATTGGCTATCCTTAACTGCCAAATCAACATACGTATCCGTTGGTCTCACAACAGTCTACCGCGTCGAAACTGCCGGTGGTAATTCCATCAACCCTTGCACAACAGCAGGCGTTCAGAGTGTTCAGTATGCCGCTCAATACTGGTTTTACAGTTGACTCCCTGACCAAACCGCCGACCCTTCAGACGACGATGACGTATGTGATAATTCTGATGAGTAATGGGTCGACTTCTCAGGAAAGTGTATCATTTTCTTTACGATTATCAATGAAACATGGCTGGATGGATGGATGGAAGGATGGATAAAGGCAAAACTAACAGAACAAATGCATATATAGAATATGCTTTTGAAATGGTAAGCGGTCAACAGCTAAAAGGCACACAAAATGCAATACCTTGGTAGGGCATGCATTAATATGTACATACACTTCTTTTCTTCACAGAGCACAAGATTACTTTCTTGCCTGCAGAACCCTCGTTTTATAATTTAAACAAGCTAGCTACATTACATTAAATTATCTTTGTGAAATCATTCCTTCCTCGGCAAATCGAATGACAAAACTGATCTAATTACTTCGCCTGTTTGACCGAACCATAAAGCTTTTATGTCCCTCTTCTTCAATTTTGTTTTGGAGCTCTAGTGAATCACTAGATTCAAATGTTCTCTTTCTATATACAATCGAATGTGAGGATGTCTCTCTATTCCCACAGGTCAAGTGCTTTGCGGAGATTACTTGTCTGATGATAACGGAATGATCTACATTCTGGACGTTCATATGTAAGAGTTGGAGCCATCGCTTACCGCACACTAAGTGATTTCGTAACAAAATCTCTGCAAAAATGATGTTTTATCATATAAAATGAAATATCAAATAAATCTCCCAATTATAATATTAAAATTTCAAAAATTCTATATAGTATTATTTGATTAATTTAGATTTTTAAAAAATAAATGAAATATTTTTAGTAATTTTTGTTATTGAAATATAAAATCCCAAAATCAAAATTTTTACAAAATTATAATATGTAACACTTTTACCATACAAAATATTAATTTTTTTCGAAATTTTTAGAAATTTTAGCTTTAAAACTCCATATATTAATAACAAAAATTATTAAAAATATTTCAATCATTTTTTTTGGATAATTTTATTATTTTCTAATTCTTCACCAAAATTTAATAATATTAATTTCATACATTATTGAATCAACAAGAGTTTTAAAAGTTAAATATATAATGGTTTTTGGTGTGTTTTCGCTTAGTGTGCAGTGAGTGATAGCCCCAACTCTTACAAATAATTTGGAAAAGGCTCGCTTCGTGATATAGATTACTTCCCTTCACTTCTCTTTAGAATGAAAAGCTGCACCTTCCCGTTTAGTGGCGGAGAGACAAAGAAAAGAAAAAGAGGTAAGGTTTTGATACGTTGAGATATGCGCGACCTCCTCATTCTCATGTGCGCCGTATACCTACCTAGTACTCATTCCCGTACACTTCGAGCCCCTAATAACACAAAACGTGCGTTGACGAGGAAATCCTAACTTCACATCTAGTTGAATGGAATTCTTCTGCATCGATATTTGCATCAGCGAAAACATACGTTAGCGGTGTGAAACGATATTAAAACTCATTCTTTGGCATTTCATTTCCAAACGCAAGCAACAAGGTCGCTGCTGATCATTTCATAATCCAATGGGAAAAGAAGACCGATCAAGTATATTTGTTGGACTTTTACGCTTCATCAATTCCATCTGCTCAAACAATGCCACGCGGTGTGCCACAGCTATTATTGTGCAATCTTTAAATACACCTCGAATGGTGCGTTGCATCAATGCATCGGTTTTATGATGTACACTGCACATTTTGTGTTGCATTTTGCGTTGGTTGCAATGATAGAAGCATACACACGGATGAGCTATTCGGAACTTCCTTGCTGGTAGCTTTACCCATAACCAAGATCCTCGCCGGTCTCACAAACGCTCTCGCGCAAGGCAGAAAAGTTGGCGTTCGTGTTTTGATATATCGGCGTCTATTTTGCTATCAAGACTTCCATGGGTCGGTATGATGAATTTTAGAGATACCACTCTCAAGTCATGCATCAAAACTGTATCATTATATATTTTGTACAGATCGAGATAATCTTGAAATTTATATCTCCATTGTCGGAATTTTTTTTTCGAGGGATGGTGTTCGGACACGAGCGTACGGTTTCGCGGGAAAATGGAGGAACATCGATGTCGTTGATGGAGCTGCTGCTGCGAAATAGATCGATCGTGCAGAATCGTGTGAGGTTAGAGGGCTTTCGCCGCTATCCATTACTATATGAGTTTGGAGGGTAAATGGTACGATGGGGTTCGAAGAAGACGGCGATTTAGATTCTTATCTGGTTTTTTGTCCATGGTATTCAGCCCATGCTGTGCGAGAAACGTGGCCGCAGTACACCGATGAATACAATTTGTCTCTAGTGTCTGCTTTGGGTCACCAGCTAAGCCAAGCGAGAGGCAAGTTGTAGAAGGATCCGAAGGAAACTACTACGTATCAAGATTGATGTTCTGTAGCTCGATGATACTAGATGACTGAAGAGATCTATGACCTAGTGGACATACTATTTTTAAAAATGAGGAGATTGCTCGAGGTCAAACGAATGAAAAATATGAGGATATAATGCGATGCTAACATTCATCTAGTCCCTAAATAATTTCGTATTCCAGCAAAAGTCGATTAGTTGAACGTTCCTATTCAGTGGATAAAGATATCCAAGTGCTGGAACCCTTTTTCTTCTCTGGACCAGAACACCTCTCAACCACCAGAATACTGCCTTATTGATGAGCAGCATTGTTTTGTTTTTGGCTTCATTTCTTATAATCACAGCAAATACTGTTGATAACCTGTCAACTCAGGACAGGCCCAATGCCAAGTCCGCTAGAAATGAAAAGGGGTAGTGTAAAGCATATGCAGAATTCAATTGTTGCCACCTATTATTCTGGAAAAGTGAAGACAACGTGATATAATATTGAGAATTGGAATTGATCTTTTAGAAAAGCTTCAACAAAGCAATGATTTCTTGATTTGTTATCGGATTTCTACTCGAGTACGGAGTATTGAAGGTACTCCGTACTATCTTGGAGTTCGGCTTCTTATCCGGAGCTCAACCATTCCTCTCCAGAGTACGGTATATAACCCTTATCATCATCTCCAATGTTTCTGTCCTGATTATAGTTGTCATTGGACGATCGCGTAAGATGACAGGTGAGGTGAATTTCAAGTAGCCGAATTAGGCAGGTGCGTGGACAAGCCTGGAGATTACTGACAGATACAGGGGATAGAGCGTCATAAATGTTTCCGAGAGACCAATCAAAGCTGTTTGATCAACGATAAATGCGACAATACTCTAACCATTCGTATGGACAAAAAACGCTACGGTTTGTCGTGTTGTTTTATTCGGATATATCTGCGCATCCAACTGTTGCAATATTCCGTGGCCATCAAAGTTTGTCGGCCATGCTCGGGGTGCGAACTCCATCTGCTCTGTTTTATTCTCTCTTTCCTTGCATTATTTAAGGTTGCCAAGTGTTAAGAGAAACTGTCAAAAGCATCTTTCTCAAGTGAAGTCGCGATGTCAGTCCAAGACTTACTTCCCAGTGAGGAGACACCTCTACTGTCCCCACCACCACAGCAATCCATCTTCTCTTCGCTTTCTCGACAGTCTCGGTCAATCTTTTGCCAAGCACGATCAACATCCTCAATAACGGCGATCGTACTCGCGACTTTATTATGGTTTGAGTTTGGGGGATACTTGATGGCTGTACCCGTGTTAAGAGTCTATGAAGATATAATTTGTCACCATTACTACGATGGCTTACTGGGAGAGGGTCACATTATTCTGGGAGGGAATATCGATGAGAGCATGTGTAAGAAGGACGATATCCAGAATGAGTTGAGTATAATAGTCGCCGGAACATACTTTCTTGGTGCTGTTCCAGGTAAGCATGCGATTTAAAAACATAATGACTGAAAGGAAGCTGATCGACACAGGTCTTTTTCTAACAGTACCGTATGGTATGCTGATGGACAGGTATATGTTCATTTTAGTCCTATCATCAAAGCCCAAAGACGAGGAATTCCGGGGATGACCACTTGAGGCAATCTCCCCTAAACGAATACCATACTGACAGGCTACAGAATCGGAAGGAAGCCAATCTTTATTTTAGCGATAACAGGCACTATCCTCAGCTATCTATGGAACATCGTCGTAATGTGGTTCTGGCATACACTACCCCTTCGCCTCACTTGGCTTGGTCCTATCTTCACAGTAATAGGGGGAGGACCAAGTGTAGGAGGCATGGCATTTTTTGCTATCGCCAGTGATATCACTCCAGAAGCTAGGAGGTATTTTAATATTCGTCTACCAGATAGAATTATCTTAGCTTACACTAACAAATCAAGGACTAATATCTTCTTCCTCGCGGCTGCTACGGATCTCGTCGCACAGTTGATTGCTCCGTCTCTAGCTGCTTTATTGATGGCTAAGTCTCCATGGATCCCAATTTTACTGGGGATATCTTTCACAACTCTCGGGAGTCTCATATTGTTGATTCCGGAAACTCTACACATGCAAGATCGAAGAACTAAAGCATCACATGTGGTTCTTGCTACCTCAACTAACGACTTCCCTCATAATCGCAAACCACAAAACTCTCTCTTCGCCACGATGAAACAAAAAATATCACATACATTTCGAACATTCCTATCGTCTCTCTCAATTCTCAACTCTACACCTCTAGTTCTTCTCCTTATCACTTTCATCATTAAGCCTTTTAGCAGTCAATCTGAAGACATATCGCTTCGCTACATAAGCAACCGCTTCCACTTCCCCCTTCGTTTGAGCTCCTTCCTCTGGTCCCTCCGCGCCGCTGTGCAAATCATTTTGTTCCTCCTCATTCTCCCATTTTTATCAAATATCATGATCACCTATTTCAAAATTCCCTCCTCAAAGGTAGAACTTCACCTGGCTCGCGCCTCTATTCTTATTCTCACATTTGGTTCACTCTTGATCGCCCTGGCCCCGACCCTTCCATTAGCTATCCTAGGCATCGCAGTCTTTACCTTGGGTGCAGGATTTATCTCCACGATGCGCTCTCTGATCACGACGCTAGTTGATAGGCAACACAAGGGACAGCTGTATGCGGCAGTGGCAGTGGTCGAGACTACTGGAAGACTAATTGCGGCACCGGGCTTTGCGCAACTGTATATTGTAGGATTGAGATTGAAAGGAATTTGGGTGGGGCTACCATTCTTTGCAATGAGTTTCATATGTGGTTTGGCAGTGGTGGCCGTCTGGGCCGCTAGCTGGGTGATGAGCAGAAGAAAATGGGTTTGGGAAAATGAAGAGGATGAGATTTTGGAAAATTCCGATAATAACGAGGATGAAATAGAGGAATGAAGATGAGTCAAAAGAGATAATGATCAGAATAGACCTGAAATCATCCAGCCTTTTGAATAATATATATCCAGTGGGGCTATATATATATATATATGTTAGAATAATCGTTTATACAATCACAAATAACATTTTTCACAACCGAAATATGTTACCCCTTTACGCTCCAACCAAGCCTGTATCAAGATGTGCTGTTTCATGGATATATGACAACCTCAGTTGGCCTATTCTGTATATCCTGAGTATACATTTACAAAAAATTATCAGAATGTGATCCACATATTCAATATACCGACTATGTCTCACTTCTGCCATCTAATCATGTTCCTCTTCACTGCAATCATCCGTGGAGAATTCACCAGGCCTTATGCCTCTCATTTGAGCATATCACCATGTCCTAAACAATCCGTGTGTGATTCACTGAACACAAGTCACTTACTCTTCTCCAAGGTCTCAAATTCAACGATCGGATGAGTGTATTCACATGGGTGGTTGGCCTGACGGGACACTTTTCAACTTTCGAATCTGTTATCAAATCCATTTTTCAATTGCTTGATATCAGAATTTATCTTTTGATTGTTCAATCTCCCGAGGTCTAATGAGATATTGGTATTGTAACAATTCCTGAGATATACCAATCAATACATCAAGAGATATTTCCAAATCCGTTTATGTGGCGTCCCATCAGTCCTTACACCTATTGGTGGTCTAATTCATTATTTCATAAATTTCCTCGGCTTCTTTAAAAGGCTTCCACATTCCCTCTTTTGCACCAAAGATTTCTGTTCCTAAATAATATCGACATACCCGAAACTTCGCACTACAACTTCACCCCTAGTTACATCTTCACACTTCAGTAAGCTTGGAAACATCCCTCACAATGTTTCTCTATGCAAATAGATGTCGGAGCACTAATTTTATCATCTAGAAAATGAGTGATTCCGAAGAACTTATCGAAGCAGATGGCATCGATCCTTCCTTGATCGAAGAAGTCGAACCCGCCTATCACTTTCCAACTCTAAGACACAATTTCCATTGGATCACGAGAATCTACAAATTCCATCAGTTCTCTAGCCAAGTACGCGCAATGAATCAGGCGAATTTTGTAGTAAAGCGAGCGCCAGTCGAACAATACTGGTTCTGGTTGGTGGAGAAAAGACTGAAGGAATGGCCTCAGGCGCCAGAATCTATCGAGGAGAGGGAGGCTCTTTTGCGCTTGGCTTTCGAACAAGTGAGTGATGCCGAGTGCATATTTTCAGCAGAAGAAGAATTCTGATATCTTTAGTGCAAATTGCCTGTCATCGAAAGTTTCTAAGCTTAGCGAGCTATGGAGGCTGGAGACCCTAGTGTTGCGCAAAGTGTAGGTTGCAGCTACCTATATTATGCGTGGATTCAAAGCTAATGATATGGTGTTTAGAGCATTGATGCCGAATTTACTATCTCCCGGTGCGTAGAGCAGCTCGCCTTCACTCAGGATGATTTCAATCATATCGATGGCTCGGCCTTAGCTGTCGTTCCAAATCAGACGGCTACGGGCACAGTCTCCGCAGAGCAAGAGGCTGCTAATGAGGCCGAGCAAGCTCGTTTGTTTGGCGAAAGTCGGGAGCGAACAGGTCTTGGTGGTGTTAGCGGTGGTGTTAGCGTTGGCGAATCTGGTGAAGATGTTGACGCGGATGGAGATGTTGCCATGGGATAGATTTTGGCGGACAGTGATCAAAACTCGCATATAATAGTGCTTTAGTACCACTCCGGTTAAATTTCTACTGCATTGATGTTTTGAATCTTTTGAATCTTTTAAATTATAATCTATAACTTTGAGGTTGATTCTATTATAGAACCTGAAGAATAATAGAATAAAACAAGTATGATTTTAAAGGTATAAGAATGACTTGCTGTACAATGAAGTGTTCTTTAGTGGATGAATACGTACATCATGAAACAATAGCAACCACACAAAAATACCAGTATATTCAGTATCATATATTTCAGCTCCAACTTCTCCTTCCTTCAGCAGTCGGTCAAATAACGACATTCGACTTTGACGATGATTATCCTATTTACATTTCTATCAGACAAAAACCGTCTTTGTTGATCATCTATCTACCCAGGATATACGGCCCCGTCCCCCCTAGGATCACTACCTCCGCTGAAAATCAAAACTCCATCCTCTTCTCCATGTACCCTTATCAACTGCCCTCTACCAAAGACACCCCTTTGGTACCCTTCCACCATTTTCACCTGATGACCCATGCTCTTCAATTTCTCGAAGGCATCTTTGCTGATTCCCTCTTCCAAAAATACTCTTCTCTCTTTATTTGACTCTCCCGGAACTCCATCTGCACTTATGCAAAACCTGGGCGCATCAAGTGCCGCTTGAGGGTTCAGTTTGAAAGCTAACATATTAAGTAGTACTTGAACATGTCCTTGTGGTTGCATAAAGCCACCCATGACGCCGTATACACTATGTAGCGAATCATCGTGGACATTGGTGACCATAGCTGGAATGATGGTGTGATAAGGTCTTTTCCCAGGCGCAATGGCGTTAGCATGGCCCTTGACAAGTGAGAAATTGCCACCTCGGTTTTGAAGAACAAACCCACAGCCTTTGGGAATGATACCGCTACCAAAACCTTCGAAGTTCGAGTTTATGAAGGAAATTCCATTGCCCCATTTGTCGGTTATGGCGAAGTATACAGTGTCACTATGATTATGAGCTGGTGAGCCATGATCATATATCTCAGGATTAGAACGCTGAGGGTCGAAAAGTTTAGCGCGTTCGGCGAGATAAGGTTGAGAGATCAGTTCTTCCACGGGGACTTTGGTGAAAGCTGGATCGGCAATAAACCAACTAGCATCTGCGAAAGCGATACGCAAAGATTCAATGACAGCATGAAGGTATTCAGCAGAATTGTGATCTTCCTCCTGGAAATGCGGGATTTTACCCGTGTTTTCGAGTTCTTCGAGAATACCAAGGGTCATGAGTGCTACGAGTCCTTGGCCGTTGGGCGGGTGTTCCCAGATTTTGACGCCGTGATTGTCTTCGCTGATGCCTTGGCCGGATATCCCGTCGACATAATGATGGGTTTTGTTGTATCCTTGACCTTTGAAAACTTTGGAGATGGGTGTGAATTTCTCACTACCAATGTCCATGTGATTCTTCAAATCGTCTAGTTCAAGAAATCCGCCTAAATTACGAGTGACTCTGATGATTTCTTCGGCAATTCTTCCGGTGTAAAAGCCTTTCTTGCCTTCAGTTGCGAGTGCTCTGAAAGTCTCGGCAAGATTTGGATTCTTGAATATTTCTCCTGGTCTTGGTGCCCGCCAGCCATTTGGAGCACTTGAATCCTCTTTTAGCATTTCGGAAAAGTTAGGGGATGCCTTTTGAAGTAGACCTTCACTGTTTCTCCACTGTTGATTGCATTAGACTTGGTGATAATAGGGAGATTTAGGGTGCAATACCATAGTTGAAGCTAATTCGGAGACGGGGAACCCCTTTTCACCCATCTCAATAGCCGGAGCCAAGATTTGCTCCAAAGTAAGATTTCCACTACCAAATCTCTCAACAGTATCAACCCAGCCTGCCGCAGCACCTGGTACAGTAACAGCATGTGGACTTTTGAGTGGGATTCTTGCAGGATCTTCATCCTTTAATCCGAGATCTTGTCGAATTTTATCAAGAGAGCATTTATTGCCTGCACGACCTGAGCCATTTAGAGAACTAACTTCCTTTGTCTTGGCATCATAAAAAAGACAGAACATATCACCCCCGATGCCGGTGGAGGTTGGCTCTGTCAGGTTAAGCCCAGCAGCTGGATTTTTGTTAGATTAGATGATATTATATTGAAGCAAATTGACATACCAACTGCAACCGCTGCATCCTAAGACGAGTTAGCTTGCATATTGTTGAGAAAAGGACAACTTACAGCTGCATTTCCACCTGCCTCCAAAACCTTGAGACCACATCTAGCGGCTAAAGGCTGGGTACAAGCGATCAAACCATCAGTACTATGAACAACACTTCTTCTGCTAGGAAATGTAACAAACTCCGGGTCGGAGGCGGGAAAGACTGAGTTTAGATTGACAGGCATTTTCGAAACGTATCTCTAGAGTGGGCAGCTGAAGGAGATGTTTTCTAAAACCTCGGCTAGTATGGTTGATAACGAAATATATATTCAAATAAGTCTCTATACCACAGTGAAAGTCTTATATGTTAGACAGATGTATAGGAGAGAAAAGATATAGAAACAATCTCCCAAAAGATTTCATTCACACTTCACTTATCTAGGATCTGAATGGCGAAAGAGGAAGGTTAGTCCCGCTTTCGGCAATTCAATTACGGTATAAAACGTGAACGTGGGGTCAAAAGAACCAGCGGACTCTACCTAGCTCCTGGGTATGTAGGCGAGATAGATATCCGGATATGAGTACTAGGCACTTTCAGATAGTTTTTATGGTCCAATTTTCTTTCCCTTCTCCATTCTCTATGAAACATACTTGCTATTTATTTAATTTGAAGTAAATGGAAGCTAAGTTTCTGCTTGAATTTTCCAAATTTATAATATCATTGTGGTTGATCTGAAATTCAAATGAATGGATAAAGTCGAGGTCCAGATAGCGGGGAAGTTGCTCGCTCACGTCACTATGGAAGCGGCCGCTTGCTAGTTTTCCCGAGTATTGTCCGTGCTCCAAAAATGTTGATGGATAAGATTATTAAGTTACATGAAATAGAAGTTAATAAATTGTCAAGAAACCTTTTCCGACGAGAATGTTTAGAGCTCCTTGGATATGTCGACGATGTATAGATTTATCATTGAAGCCTGGTAAAAGGCGATCTTCGCCATTCACACGATTCTCAAGCACCGTCCGTTAGTCTTCAAATATACCCTTCCATTCACATCCTCTTACACGAAGAACAGCAAACAATGGCGATACCTTTTCTCCAGCATTACTTGCACGAGCTCGTAATTTGGCTGCGGAACATGATCGATTGAGTAATGAAACTTCCGAGACCTTCGATGCGAAAACTGCGAAACGAATTGGAGAATTACAAAATGTAGCGGTAGCACTGAGAAAATGGGAAGAAACGAAAAAATCGCTATCAGAGCTAAATGATTTACTGAAAGATTCATCTACCGATGAAGAATTGAGAGAACTGGCAGTGGAAGACCTTGCTACTACGACTGCCCATCTCGAAGAATTATCAAGAAATCTCACAACCAGTTTGACTCCCAAACACCCTTTCGCCGAGTTACCATGCCTCCTTGAAATTAGACCTGGAGCTGGAGGAGGTGAAGCCGCGATCTTCGCCGCAGATCTTCTACGCATGTACCGAGCATATTGCGCGCGCAAACGATTCCGCTCTACAATCATCAAATACGAGACCACTGACGGCGAAGGCGCTGGATCCGATGCGCCCATCTCCGAAGTTGTGCTTGAAATTGAAACGTCCGGATCGTACGATTCATTACGCGGTGAAGCGGGCGTTCATCGGGTCCAGCGAGTTCCTGCAACTGAGAAACAGGGAAGAACACATACTAGTGCAGTGAGTGTAATGGTGTTACCTAGTTTCCCCACGACGGGACAGGAAGGACAGGAATATTGGGAAGCAGATCTGAATGATCCGAATAGTGATTATTATGTCAATCCAGCGGATGTACGGACAGATGTGATGAGAGCGAGAGGAGCGGGTGGTCAACACGTCAATACAACTGATTCGGCTGTGCGATTGACGCATGTACCTACTAATACAGTGGTCAGTATGCAAGAAGGACGGAGTCAGCTGCAAAATCGACAGAAAGCATGGCAAGTACTACGATCGAGACTAGCGGCTGCAAAAAGGGAGGCCAGAGAAGAACAATTGATGAGTTTGAGGAGAAGTGTGATTGGTGTTGCGAAAATGGGAAGAGGCGATAAAATTAGGACGTATAATTGGGGACAACAGAGGGTTACGGATCATAGGAGTGGGCTGAGTGTGCACAATTTAGATGATGTTATGGAGGGCGGTGACGAACTTGAGAAAGTTATTGATAGCGTCAAAGCATGGTTTTCCGAGCAGGAAACCCTAGGATTGCTTGCTGATGAGGATGCTGCAAGCAAGGCGAAGTAGATGGCAGAATGAAGTACACTTCATGAGTAAAAATTCTCTCTTCAAATTGTCTCCAGACTCTCGTTTCTTTTGTCCGATCCTCTATTTGCTCATTTGCTCAGGTATTCATCCAATCCAGTAGGCAGATTTTGTATCTGATTCAATCTAGCAATCCCACTCGAGGTAACGTAGCTGAGATATCTCGTTGAAAATCCATAGGATCTGATATCATGACGTATGCAATTCACCAAATCACGTTCATAATGTACATTGCATAAACAAATTAAGGGGCAAGAATAATGAATTCTAACCAGAAGTTATAGCAAAGCCCAAAGAAACAACATATCTAACAACAAGATGTGCCCCTGCCGCCTATGATCCAAGCATTCCCAACCGAACCATAGCTCCTCCCAAAAACAAAAATGCCAAAACCATACTCCATGTCTGAAAATCATTTAAGCTGGTGGAGCGCTAGTGTTCTGTGTAGCTTCGGTTCTTTGAACAGCTCCAAATCGAGTGTTACCTTGGTCAAAGATCTAGAGAAAATGTCAGTGGCTGATACAATCAGAACTGGGTGGAGGATGGAGCTTACAGCATAGATTCCCTTGAGGAAAGTGTCGCCAAGGATATCAAACGTCATGGAACCTCTGGATTGGATTCCACCATAAACCATACCATTACCCGCATCGGCAAATCCCAAATCTTCCTTTTGAACTGTGAATTGCTTGCCACCTACAGCAAAAGTAACGACGGGGAGGTCATCAGCGCTGGTGTTACTTGGGAATACGTATCCTTGCTGATCCGAATCATAAGTAGATCCTGGGATTGCATCGTAGATGGCTTGACAAGTTTCATCAGAAACTAATGCAAGAGTAGTTCCGGTATCGGCAATAGCTTTGTTACCGGTCTGAGCAACAGTCTTGCCATTGACAGTAGCAGAAGTGGAATCAAACATCCAGAATCCTTGAGAGTTGTCGACGGGAGTGTAGTAGATTTCTTTGCTTCCAACGACGTCTTGGTCGATGTAGCCAAATGTGTAGAAACTAGCACCTTTATCGGCTTCGTCGGCATCACGCCAGCTACCGAGATTTACAGTGAAAAGCTCGGCGTTTGATGGGATATCTTCTTGGCTGATCATGTTCTCGACAGGTGTAGCAACTGGTTCGGGTGTGACGGTGTTGATGCTACCCCATGCGAGACCAAGCAATCCATCACCAGCACCCTGTTCAAATTGAGCAGACAATTTGGTTGCAAGCTCAACTGCCTGGTTTTTGATGGCCAGACCACCAAGGGAAACAGTATCTGTTCCAACAGTACCGGAAGCAGAAGAGGAATCGCCGTATGAGATTTGCCACTTGGAACTCTTGGCAGCTTTGAAGGTGGAAGACTTTTTTGGGTCGAAGATCGTGTGCCCGGTTGCCTTGGAAGTTGTGGCTTTGGGTAGTTCTGTGGACCAGACCTATTTCGCCATGTTAGCTTTTGCCGTGGAAATCATGCGTCCGCGTACTTGCCCATAGATCGGATGATCCAGTATCAAAGTCAAGCATCAGAGTTTGTGCTGGTGTACCAATCTGTACAGGGCAGAGATACTCAGAATCATTTTGTTGGTCTTCGGCTGGGACTTCGCCGTTCTCTCCGGTAGATGTCTTCTTTGCCAACACACGTTGAGTTTGTGCTTTATGGCCAAATTTATGGAAGCTAGCTGAAGTTGCGGTGACCTTGTTTATTTGAAAATATGGTCCAGGTTGAGTGGGCTCGAAGCCCCATTTGTTGAGTAGATAAACATAGGATTTGGTACCGGATCTTTTATAGTTCTTGTTAGGAACCAGTCTGATCTTTGACAAACCTTGGAGAGTAGCCATGTTGGGTAAGGTGGATAGGAAATTTAGTTAATAATAGTTCTGTAGTAGGTAGATGCGATTTAAAGATGGATGGTATGAGGAGAGATGAAGTTGACGAAGGGAAAAGCTGTCTTTAAATGCTGTTGAGCATCGTAACCTTTGCACCTGTAGAGCCTTCCCCCGCTAGGATACCTAGCTTTCAGATGATCTAGCCAAGGCGTCATAAATTTAAGTTCCGTGGTTTCAGGGCAGCTTCCATGCTATGCACGACCGGGGAAGGCGCATAGTGGGTATTGATAAGGAATCACTTGGTGAGGCATACCCCTTCAAGCACGCAGCTGTTGGAAAATGCCAAGATCATATGATTTGAGTATCAAAAAGTCAATTTTGATCTCGATGCTATTCATGTACACTTGGACATGAGTGAAGGTCTAAATCTGGCCAAATCTTCAACGTACTGTATCTCGTGAACAAGTTGAGACGGAATGCACCAAACATCGAATTCGCCCCTCAGTCAAGATAGTGACACACTGCGAGAGGGGGCAGTGAAGATGATGTTATCCAGGGTACACAAGGTTTATCTTTCGGCACTTCCTCCAAAGTGGATTGATTCGAGACAACAGCCCCTCGTCGTACATGATCTGAAGAAGTAACAGTTGAGAGAAAAGAGAGGCTGTGCCAATAAACATGAAATACTACGCGTAAGCTAACCACTCCACAAAAAACAAGAAATAAGCATCCGCTAAGTCGAATTAGATGGCGTAGCAACCACCCGTGCCGTTGTATAGTGCCGTCCGTCGTTGTCAAGCTCATGCTATCCAAACATTGGCTCGCGACAACATCATCTGGAACATTAAAACGGACAGTATCAAGCTGAAAGTTTATTGATTTGCGTTGACAGTTTCTTCAAGGGTATCAACCAAAGAAGTAAGGAAGATATTTGACGTCATTGACACCAATAACAGCTGGCTATAGTGCTTCATGGATTAGCATTGATTGATTACCAACTACTGCAAACAAGCTGCGTCGTACCTGAACGAGATATTACACATTAGGAAATGCTCGGTCCTAGATATGGTGATTGCGCCGATAGAATTTGGACACAACACACAGGACACAGGAGACACCATACAGCATACCAATACCAAGCTGACCAAGGTACCGGTAGTATTTCTCATCATAAAACCGACAGTATAAAATTGATAGACTGTTCGCATGAATCCGAGATACGGACATGGCGATGCCTATCGTGCGAATTTAGTGGAGTTGCACATGGGATATAGCTTCATGACCTTCCGAGCTTCCTTATCAGGAGAAGCCAAACCAAAAGCTTGAATCCACTTGGCACCACTCTTGGTGGCGGGTATCGGGATTCCCCCACCATAGAACTATCCTCGATCCATCATACAATTCATTCGTCTGTTTCAATGTCTTTTTCCAGATGCTTGTTTCTTCTACGTTCATGAAGCCAGAAATTCGCTTCATTTCGTATCAATTCGTTGTCGTGCTGCTGATCCCATCCTAAGATCAAGAATTGGAATCTTATTTTTAGCTTTTGGCTCATTATTCTCTATTTCGAGACATCGCCCCTAGAAATGACGTCCCTTCATTTGGCTTCCATGTTGATTTGTTGATATGATCACCTCCACGGGATATGCAAGATATATATTGTTTGCGAAATATCTAGCGGGTCCTGTGCCGTTGCGCGGCTGACAGGTATGAGTATGGCGATTCAGGACATAGCACCCAGAAGTTTGCCCAAACAAAGTTCCTGCTGTTATCTCGTGGCTCTTGCAATCTAAGGGCAAGAAGTGTGTTTAAACTTTTGTGGTGTGTATTTAGCGAAGTCCGAGAGGTCTTCTTTTGTATGAGAGGTGCGCGAATAGCGGATTTTAGTAGAGGTAGACTTCTTTCATCATGTGCTTTAGCAATTGGTCTTTTGGTACTCGTACACGTACATACACGCTGTTTCTTTAGATTTCTTTGCCCTCCTCGAGCCCTCTACCTTTTGACAGTAGGAACGGGCCCCTTCCATAACTTTGATCGCTGAATGAGTGATATTCTGCGAGAACGATGTATACGTACAAAATGATACATCCTGCTGCAACCCTACGGACAAGACCGAGCTCTGAGAAAAAAGATGGTGTCGTCGTGACGCCTTCAGTATCAATGAGGTTGATATTGTGCATATATTGCAACGCTGTTGGCGCTTATTATGCTGTGCTGACGGCTTACATCCCTATGCTACACAAGTTGAAAACAAGCTTCTCGCGAATGCACAGCTGTGTGGGGGTCAGTGAGACATCTGAAAATGAAGATAGCATTTGATCATCGTCCTTGGCATGGATTCAAAAATCAAGACAAATTTGCAAACGGGCATGATAAAAAATGAGATCCCGCCGCGAACAATATCGAAATTCTGTATCTCGCAAAGAAGTCTCTGAAATTACATTGTTATATCGGCAATTCAAGGTTGGATAACGTGCATTTATTATTGTATGCCAATCCTTTCATTATTGAAATGCAACGGGCATCTACCTTACAATCACATTCATCAATGCTTGAATGCTTGAAAGATGTATGGGGATCTGAAGTCCCTTGATCTAACTTGGGTATAGAAGACACCAAGAGTATCAGCGCCCTCGTCTCATTTGGTATTTTCACTCCCCCATTTTATTCTCTGGATTTGTTTCTCTTTTTTTGGACAATATTCTCCCATGTCCACATCGATATCCAGTCGCCCATCAAATCCACTCCTTCACGATTCTCTCCACATCCTCCTCTGCTCCCTCAACCTTGATGCTTTTTTCCCACTCCCACCTCAAACAATCCGCTACCATTTTCCTCACTGTTCCTCTTCTGTCGTTCCCAAGCACTTATTATCGTCTGTACAAATACGCAACTCCAGAATGCTATCAAAGCAAACCAAAGTACCAAAATACACAGATATTCCATCCATCCCAGAAATCCAATTATAAAAAAGACCCAAGCCCATGGAATCAAGGGTTGTATGGTCTGGAAGAACTTCTCGAGTGAGTGGGCGAGAAGACAGTTGAATCGGATAAAGGAATAGCCGCAAGCCCAGAAGACGAAAGGTGTTAGGAGGGATATTGAGATGGAGAGGACCAGGCTGTTCGACATAATGAGGATTTGGCTGAAGCTGCCAGCTACACAGCCAGATTCTATGTTGCTTTTGACTAAATTGTCAAATATGTACTCTCTGCAGCGTTTTGAATCGTAAACTATATTCGTTCAAAAGAAAGCAAAGATTCAGCAGGAATGGAAGCATATATTCCTGCGATTTTGAACATCTTTAGGCACACCGCAGTTTCCAGTTTCCACCAACAAAGGTTGGCTAGGAAGTTTGTCTCGTGAGCTGTATGTTGGCCGGGTGTTACCGGATTGGTACCGGATTGTTTGCTATTCTGTCCAATTTATAGGATATCAATTGTAGACAATCAACCTTTGTCATCTAGACATGAAAGCAATGGATTACCTAAAGTACTGCGCGCGTTCGTTTGTTGCTCGCTGCTAAGATGTGACGCTTACCTACTTCAAAGCCTCTTTCATCACCAACCCACTCTCTCTGAATGAGAGGCTAATCTTTCGATTCTAGCTAATTCACATGGTCTTCCTGTAATTCAACATACCAAGCGCCCTCGACAGTGTTGCGTGTGACAAAGTGAACTCGCGTCAAAAAAGATACAATCGAGCATTAACATCAATCCCTCTCGATTGTTATTGTGGATGGTAAGCCAGCTCGGTATTGCTCTGCTCATCATAGAAGCACAGAATTTTTTTAACAAAAATGCGGCTACGTAGTCCAAATAAGATAGAAAAAGATATGATTTAACACAATCAACTAGTTGTGAGACTTGATGTCAGTAGGCCATCCATCACATGACCGTGTACCATTTTTCCTCCCCTCTACGTGGTGGTATTGTGATGACTGCATGGTAGAATTTTGTAGGATCCTTGATTTCAAAGAGCTCGTCACTCATTATTGAGATAGAATGTTTTGAGATAAAAGAGATCTCAAGCAACGTAAATGTCAAACTATGGCTAAGAAACCCCTCAATATCGTGATTGGATTGAAAGCTTGAATCCACGTACTTCTGGATAAATTGCATGAGCCAAATGCGGGAGACAACATCTCACTAGTATCATATGATTCTATGTTGGAGAAACACTTTTCGAAGGGAAGGGAGGTTCTTCCTTTTGGATACCTGAAACTACAATGTCAGTACGAAGTACAGTAAGCATCATAGTAGTGGAAGGGCTTTAGGGAACAGTCCACAACCATTCGATTTCCAATAATCTAGCTGAATCCCAAAATCATTTGTAATCTCTCAAGCTTAAGCACTCTAATAAATAGCAATTGGAACAATTTTAATTGGCGGAAGTTCTGGCAAAATCATCGAGAATTTTGTATTTGCGAGGGGCGGGGACGTCCCAAGCACCTAGGTAGGTATGTTTAGATATTTTTGCTGTATCGTTTCAGGCTTTGCGTCGTGCCACGGGTAAATATCGGCCTTATACTAGCACTTGCATGTGATACCAACACGTCAAACCTCGCTCGCTTCGACAAAAAATTCTGCTTCTGTTCTCTCAGGCTCTGGCACCCTTCACGTCAAATAGCCCTCGAGATTTAGAGCGGTTATATTGGTAGCGGAGTTTTCATAGCTTCGTCGACAGAGAATATTGGTAAATGGGACACATGTATGAGTATCCGACTAGTCCCCTTGAGATATACGAGTAGATGGCTTCTTCGATACCTCACATCTGGACATCTGTACGTCCATGAATCTGGGGCGAGACTGATCTTCGAGTAGAAGCCTCATAGATGAATGACTCAATATTGGGTGATACGAGATGGACGATGCTCTTCTTTTGACTGTTACTTCGTAATTGATCGCAGCTCTTATTGAACAGACGTACTGCGTGCATACGGCCGGATCACGCGAAGAGAATACTGAAGCCATGGTCCAAAAGCTAAATTTAACAATGCGTTGTGTGAATTGATAAAGCATATCTTTTCCTCTGGATGTTAAGTCGGTATTCCAAGCAGTGACAAGTGTCTCGGTGGACCTTGCTGGGAAATGGAAAAGAAGGACCAATCTAGCACCTTGTTCCGGGAGGCAAGGTTCTTCATCCCTTCTAGCAAGGCCAACCACACACCATTAGATACGGTAATATTGATGAGCTATGTATAGATTGAGCGTTCTCTCAAAATCCGTCAAATAACTTACTTCAACCCATTTCTTTAATTGGATCAAGTACGGGTGTACCTCCTTGAACAAGAGACTTGCGCTATCTGATAGCTCTAAGTACATTGGGGACTCGTATCGAAGTTTGTGTCTTTAGGTTCACCAAATAAGTCTTCAATCTTCTGAAAGTCTGAAGCCGAGCAAGCGCCGGTGCCACCTTGTTTTATGGAGAAGATAATCGTCCTGCAATGTCTCTGGTATTTTAGAGATTATTTATCAAGAATAGAGGCATTTTTAGATTGACCAAGGAAGCCTTGAAGTCATACCCCATCTACATCTCGAGGATCGTTCGTCATTTGCCCTCTAGCGAGGACTATACTGCCCTAGTGGTGCAGCTCACGTCGATTTATCATATACGAGCCGTTTCCTCTTTGGAGGATAGCATGCGATGTAGAATTTGTGAGCCCAATATTTGAGCCTTGGTCTATACCGGCCAATTTCTGTTCCTTTTCGACGCGCAAAAGCTTGGAGTGTTTGAACTTGACTGCAATATATTAATTTTAAGAGATCGTTAATTCTGGACGAAAGTGGTTTGACTGTCAGCTGGCCTGCAGTATCAATCGTATTCTGCCCTTTTTCTTAGGAGCCAGAAGCTCTGCATACCGATTTTTAGGGCAAAATCTAACAATACCTAGGTCACCAAATCGTCGTCCGATGACCAGAGCAGAGGTGGCTCAACTTCCAGTCTATTAGAATGATGGATCTTCTGATCTCCAATACAGAAAGTGTGATAGTATATATGGCATTGTGCGACACGAGATTACCTTTTTCTGATATCTGATGCGCGATAGCCATTTTCTTGTCAACTGAGAGAAGAAGGAAAAAAAACATGAGAGGAACCTTCGTACCCCGATCTCCTTGCTCCACGTGGTTGCGAGTAGTAGCTGTTAAGTAACGTCGACGATATTCTTAAGATATCTACCTAGGTAGGTAGGTCTTGATATTTGATTGTTTTGAAGAAGCCAGAGAACAAGCGCCACATAATATGCCGGGTGTCAGCAAACGGTCTGGCGGGTCAATGCTGGTCGGTCTCTTTATGCCCCGTTCCATTCACCATTTCACCTGAAGAGGATGTATATTATCTGTTTCAGTGTCACTTTCTCAACCAAACATGCCAACATGTTTGTGTACTTTGATGGCGCAGTGGATAAAGCGTCATCTTCTTTACGGAAACTTGGCGCGGCTCGAATCGCAGTTCAGGTTCTTGAAATTCCTTCGGGATAATTCGTTATATGTGGGGATTATTGTTGACTTCTTTAAATATTCTATGTTATAGATTTGACTTCTATTCGCTATTATGGTGATATCTCAATTCTTATTAATTGAGAACAGAATTTTTTGTTCCTTTTTGTTCTTCCAGATTCGAGCCGATATGTGATTGAATTTTTTGTAGATCTATAAATTGTTCAAAAACCACCAATCAAGAACAACCTTGGAATAAGATATAACGTGTTTTATCAGTATACGGGTCACTTATTTTATATACAAAATTCGTTTGTGTGTAACCGTGCACTTTCTTTATTTATAGATATAATTTTCTGAAATTTGATACAAAATATTTGAATATATAAAAAATTTAAAAATCTAGTTAATTTTAAGAAATTCGAATTTATAAAATTGTTATTATAAAAATAGTTTTTTTGTAATGAAAATCATAACAATTTCCTTTTTCTTTTAGAAAACAATGAAATTATTTTATAAAAATTAGATCAATAGAAAACCTAGATTTTAATTTTTTTTTAAGATCTTTTATTCAAGAAAACAATGATTGGTTATTAAAATATTAATATTTTAAAAAGCTTGATTTAGGTGGTTTTCGAAATGACCCGCATACTGATAAAACACGTTACAACTTCATTTTACGTATCAATGCGAGTCTAGTTATTATCTCCTTCCCAAATTCAACTATTCGTAAAGTTAGTTTTTAACGAGTCATAGCAAATAGTAACAAAATTCAATGTTTTAGTGCAGATCGCTAGTTTTAGGGATAGATTGCTAATTTCAGGTGCAGATCATTGTAAAATTATACAATATGCTCTTAAAACTAGCAGTCTGCACTAAAAGCTTAAATTTTGTCACTATTTGTCCCAAGAAGACTCCATAATATGGACAACATATGTTTGTCGCATTTGTCAAACCATAGCTACAGCGTAACAATAGTTGTAGCCAAAGATTGATGACGTCAACAACATCACATTTTCTTCCAATTAGATAATACTCTGATAATACCGGTAGCGACAGTACTAATAATCACCTCCTTACTGGTAATCCAACTTATTTTCAACAACGCTTCTGTCTGTGTCCTATTTACCTTGAAAAGCACCCAATCCTTTATCTCCTTTTCACTTCAGAAATTCTCTCTAGCATCCCACATCTCTATTGCCGTCTTTGTTCTGAGTATCCGCCGTCCTTGACTCAAGTTCTTTCTCCTCCCATAATTCCTCTCAATATCACTATGCCCACTAATCTTTCTCCTCTTCCCTCCATACCAACTCCCACTCACACACCTTTTCTTCCCCCCAATATAATTGGCACCACTAACCGTACGTTTTCCCCTCCAACTTCCAACATTTCTACTGCCACTGCCCTCATGATTTCTTCTAATATTTTCCGACGTATTAGAAACTGACCTCTTTTGGAAATAAGCTTTGCGGAACATATCATTAGGATCAAGCCATTGCGAGCAAATTTGATGCATAGGTTTTGCTTTCGCCTCTCCCTTGCAAGGAGATCGAACCGACCAGTCCCAGAATCCAAGGAACTTATATGCATTCTCCAGTGCTTGGCGACCTTTAGTCTCATCCGCAGCAAAGTCATCAAGGCTTAGCGGTTCCACAGTGATGCTCTTGAGAATGAATGCTTCATATTTCCACACCAATTTGACGTTGAGAAGTACTTCGGTTCTTTCAACTGGGTTAAAGCTCCAAAGCTGAAGAGCTGAAGAATCTATATGGTTTTGAGTGAATGATGTGAAGCTATAGGTGTAAGGCCGTTTTCCCGATTTGAGCGGCAAGAGTTGGTGTTTCAATTCCATCAGACGAAAAGTTTCTTGTTTCGCGATTTCGTTTTGAGCTCCAGAATTATCTTTTTTCCATTCATTGTATCTCTCGCGGCCCCATCTTCCGAGGAGTAGGATCTGTGGACTTTTCATACATCGTTCGTAAAGGGTTTCCATAGATGCATCGGTTTCTGATTTGATGGAAACAACTGTAGGAGAATCTGTATAATCACTAGTCGACTTGGACCTTATAGCCAGGGAAAAACTTCTTGGTGCTTCTGTGACTTCTGCAATTGTAGAGAAGATCTGGTTTTTCTCGTCCATGATATTGGTTACATGGTTTGCGAAAATAGTAGGTTCTTCATCCAGACTTCCATCTTTGACGAATCCCACCAACGGCATATCAATCTCAATGGGTGCCTCAACTACTTCTGTGACTTGAGGAATGATCAGGCTTTTTTCGGCACTGGTATTAGTTTTTAGTCTTTCAGCAACGCAAAGATCATCCTCGACAATTGCATGCGTAGAATTTGCGGTTTCATTTACCAATAGATCCATTCCATCCACCGCTTCTCTCACTTCTCTTACCTCTGTAATAGTTGAAGTAATTTTACCCTTGTTAAGTATATTATCAATCACTGGTCCAGTGGCCATACGAAGACCTTCATATGCTTCATCCACAATCGCATTTATAGCATCTACTTCCGATGCCGTAACTCTCAGTAGCCGCGAGGTACTTGTATGCGTATCCACTACCTGATTCTCCGCCTTGGCACGCGTTAAAGGCACGCTTCCACTTCCTCTATTTCCCGCATAGTTCCTATCATTCCCTGTCGAGACCAGATAATTAGCATTTTTACCATTCCCCCCCGTTTCAAGCTGGGTTTTGTCTTGAAGGAAAAACTCACAAAATAACCTATAAACAATGCGTTCAGCAACATCCAGCTTCTCTTTCTCTCTTTCGCCGTACAGTTCTCTCGTCTCTACGCCAAAAGCAGCAAGTATACTCTCATACGCCTGCAAAAATCTGACCAGATCAATCTTGTCATCGATAGCTCGATATACCATTTCCTTTTTGCTGTATTTGCTGTCTTTGTATCTTATTTTCGTGAGACCTGTAGCTAGCCTGGGGCTTGGATAGAGAGGAGATCTTTGCAGAGCAGCTGGAGAATAGAAATTATGAGATAATGAGAGAGGAGAGATGGAACGTGGGATCTCGTGATTGTCGAAGGCGGTTGGGATTGGGGTGGCAAAGTTAGGACTGAGCCAAGAATCTTGGTGGACGGAGGAAGATGCCATGTTCGTGGGAGAAATGCTGAATGAATGGATGAATCGATACAGATACAGATATAGATTTCGACTTTAGAATAACACTTCAACTTGAAGTGCGAATAGTTATCTAAGGATACCAAAATTACTGTATAAGCAATGCAGTGAGATTATTTGATGTACGAGTCTTATTGTAAGAGCGAAAGAATTCAAAGGAGCTGAGTTTGGGTGATGCAGATTGTGATGCATCTTTCCTCCAGATTTTTTTCGATTAAGGAAGTTGCTACTAGGCATCGAAGTTTAGCCCATACGCATTTAGTGAGCCATGATCTGAAGATATTTCATTTTGACAGAAAGGAACGTAGATGGAAAGAAGTGACTGATCACTTGAATACAGTAGCAAAATGGGGAAGGAGCGACAAGGTTGGGATTCTCGATAGGGAAATGTACAGATTATTTAATACATATCTAGTAGGTACCTAGTAGGTATAAAAGTCCCGTCTCGTAGCTGCCGCATTCTAGAAGAGATTTAAAATTGAGGACGCAAGGTAAAGAAATAGAGATTAAACAAAAAAGAGTTACCCGATTAGCTGGCACCCAAATATCCGAATCACAATGAAGTCCACAACTCCCAACAAAAAACAATACAACAAAGAACTTTCCTCTTGAATTCACAACACAATCAAGAATTCATATCAACAATAGCGTTCTTCATTCCAGTCGACTATTGAAATCTATCTAATCCTAACCCTTCAATCCAACAGATACAAAGAAGCAATACTAGTTACATGATTACCGAGCATCCATCTTTCGACTCACGACCCAAATTTTGAATGAAAAAATCAACATACAATAGAAGTAAAGTAATGAGAGAAAAGAAAGAGAACTAAATGCCCAAACAGATATCGATACTGATGGATGCGAAAGAGAAAAGAAATTATGCAAAGAGAAGAATTGATTGTACACACTGACGAAATCGACTCTTATCCACTCACTCACTGACTTCTAAACATCTCTTTTTATGAATAAATGGGTATAAACTTCCGCGACACGCAGGATAAGAAGCATCAGCTTCGTCCCCAACCCCCATCAATCCCTCTCACCCACTCGCCGACTTCAAACCCTAAACGCCGACGTGTCTTTTCATCCATCTTCCCTTTAATTTTCTCTTTTTCCTTTTCCTTTCCTCCACTTCCCTCTTTCTCTCTTTCTCCACCTCCACTGCCCACCGTACTCGTACTGCCTTTCCCCAAACATTCTCTATCCCCCGGCAAACTGCCCTCTCTGCCCACCTTCTCCGAAACCAATATTCTCACCACAATTCCTCTCCCAACCAGCCACTCCACCCCTCCAGATCGTTCCATCTCCTCCCTCCCTACTCCCTTCACAAACACCGTAAGATCCGCGCCTACAATTCCTCTCCAGAGCGTAGCCATCCACTGCCAATGATCGATCGGGGCATAACTATCATTTATCGGTAATTTTAACGAATACGCATCTGACAAGGTAAGAGAATATCCATGCGGTATAAGAGCTATCGGTGTTCTTTTATGCGGAGTAGACGACTGTGATGCTTCTGACGATTGAGGAGTCGAAGAAGCAGTAGAATTATCTCTGCGAGGAGAAGAAGGAGGAACCGTCGTGATGAATTTCGTAATCTGTAATGAATTTCGATGCCATTGACAAATCGTCGAGAGATATTCGACGAAAGGATCAGAAGACTCTTCTTTTTCCTGGAGGTCTTTCATATCCATCACCATCTCATGTTTGTTTTCTTCTTTTCCTTTTATTCTCTCCTTTCCTTTTTCTCTTGTCGCTCGCACACCCAAGACGTCCCGCATCTCAGTATCCGCATCTTCATCCACGGCTATATCCCTCGATTCTTGACGAGCATCGGATCCCGTCATCCAAGTCCGAACCATACAATTGGCATCTTTTTCTAGATGTCCACGGATAAAATCTCCCACCTCCCTAATCAATCCCTTTTCCATTCCCTCAACAGCAATCACCGCGCCTCTAATATCCTGCGCAGGACTCGTTGGACCTGGCGCCGCTAATGGCGGCGAAATCTTCGAAAGGATATTCAACTTGTTCCAGAAGGGAATTGTCATGACCATGGCCTCAACACTACGAGCTTGGGACTCTCTACTTTCGCTCCGGATGTCGCGGTCGGCAGGACGATGAGTGGATGTAGTGGCAGTGGTGGGAAGTTGGGTTTGGAGGGGAGGCAGACGGAGAGATTCGTCGAATGTAGGGGTCCGATTGCGGTAAGTGGGTGTCATGCTCTGTTGCATATGTGTGCTACGCATTGGAGCCGATTGTGGTGGACCCATTGCACCCGATCTTGGACCCGGAAGAGGTTGAGGAGGATTCCGGAAGGGACCCGCTGACATTGGGATTTGTTGGTTGCGAGCGAAACCTTGCTGAGGGGTTGAATAAACCATCGGAGATGGTTGTGGATAGACTCTCGGATCATTGGTGAAACGTCGACGCTTAAAATCTGGGGAGGCAGACTGCATTTCGATATCCTGATCCTGTTCATGATGGGTATGGAGGGGTTGAGGGTATGGGTGTCGCCTAACCATTTGTTGGGGAGGTGGACCTATACGTGGAGAATCTACTCTACCGCTGCCGGGAATTTGAGATAGATAGCGGGGTCTTTCAAGTTCGCCGAGCTGGGGTTGATACTGAGACTGTTGGGACTTCTGGGCCTGATTGTTTGAGCTGAATGGCGGAAGAAGTCTATCGTTACGAGGAACGGCAGCTCCAAAGGCCGGCGTGAAGGGTGTCAACGGTGTACTTGGCGTTGAGATGTATCGTCCGTTACATCTCGGACACCGAATGGGATCGTCCGATGTTGAAGTTAGTGGACGATTACCGAGTGTTTTCCCTGCTCTGCGCGGCTGGTAACGATAATTAGGATATTGTCTTTGATGACGTTGTTTTTCTTCCTAGGTACCACAAAATCAGCATGGTCTATGATCACGGGCGACTACTATGTTATTTACTTCAGCGAGTCTTTTCCATTCCTCTTTTACATTGGGTGCTTGCTCGCGCCACTGTTCTCCAATAATCTTTGATATTTCGGGGTTTGCAAGACCGGGATGCTGGGCGACGACTTGTGCCTGATAATGTTGACGGTAAAGGATAAATGCTACAAAGGGAAATTGTTAGCTTCTCGATGCTGTAGTGGTGACAAAGAATCCTATATGAATAAACAAAGGCTAGGGTAAACATAGGGTCTCCCGCAGCCATTCTCAATATCCAATCATACGATTATTGTCAATCATCATTGTCAAAGAAAAGTTTTAGGTCACGCACCGTTTCGAGGTCGTGGTATCTTTGGGTCTGGTTGACAAAGACACACTTGTTCTGTGGCTGGCGTATCAGAAATAGGGGAAGGGCCTCCAATGCTATTGCTTGTGCTCGCACTATTCAATGCAAGATCTCCGATTCGTGGTTGGCTTGCACTCGCACTTTCAATATCGAGTGATGCTGCTCGTTTTCTTGACAAACGGTCGAAAGGTGGAGGTGAAACTGGAGTTGGAGGCTCTGAGTGTTTCTCTGGGAGAATTGGTCTCAACGAATTCCTCCTACTAGAATCTGTTGAGATACTAACGGGAGACCGAGGAGCATCTCTATCAACATTGCCGTTGGTTCTGCGTACTTCTGCCATAATTGACATGATTTTTGATTTTCAAACGAGATGAGGAAAAAGCTCAAGTTTTGAAAGTTGATATCAAGTGGGAACTTCAGAGTATAATAGATAGAAAGGAAAATAAAGAGGAAAGAATGGAAGGGTAGAATGCCCTTCTTGACAGTGACGAAATGCTTTGTATGCATTGCGACTGGATAAAGAAAAGGACAATTCTATCATAACTCAATTCATCCATAATCAACTTCTAGTTGTGACATTCTGTCCATTCTAGGCATTCTAGGCATTATGGCAAAGTGTTGGTGTCTTTGTTGTCTCGGGAAGACTGCACAGCTGCAGTTTCGCATGCGTTTTCCTTTGTCTTTAGTGAGCTCCGTTACCAATGTTCACTCCCAGTAAATCCCAAGAAATAGAAAATCAAAATTAGGAAAATGCTTGGTAACGGGTATATAATTTCATGCTTACTAAATAAAACCTAATTGGAATGCTTTTTTGGCCAATTTTGGAGAGGTATGAGGAATGTAATGCCAATTAGAAATTTTTTTGGAGATACTACATAATATCCGCAAACAGAACCATGAAACCTTGGACACCCCCTTTAGACGCCAAAAGCAAGCGACGAGCTCTAGATAAACCCCTGTTCTCAGGTTACACTGATAGTCACACCAGTGAACTGCTCCCGCAAATGCACTAATGATGTGACCATGCCAATCAACTTCTCACACCAGTCGATGAACTGCATCAGCCGCAGCGAATTGATTATGAAATGAACCCATTACCAGCTTCACCGTTCATAATAGCTGCACTCCTCCGTGCATCAATGAATAAATCTTCGCACTCCCCTACATCCTGGACATCAATTTGATTGCGTCCGCTTACTCGCGCTAAAATACTAGATGGTGTTAGAAGCTGCAATGCGTATCTCAAACTAATTCTTGAACCATGTTCTGTGAGTTTATCTAATGCAGCTTCAGTTATGGCTAAACCTTCAACTGTAACTCGAATACGGAGAATTCTCTTGATTTCATCCGCCTCGTAAGCATTTGTGGGAATGATCAAAAGACGAGCCAAAAGATCAGATGGAATTCCATGTGCCGAGATCAAATCTTCACTACCACGAATGGTACACATGCCACGATTGGAAGCGAGAATCACGATTGGGGAAATCGTTGATTCGAGAGCACGATTCAAATATGTGAAGCATTCGAGATCGAGCATGTGAACCTATAATTTGTTAATGATCAAGAACCGGAAGGCGTATTGAAGGCTTTGACACATACCTCATCAATAAAAAGCACACCTGGAACAAGCTCTGCCACTCCTTGATCAATGTATTTGTTGACCACCTTATTAATCTCCGCTCTTAATTTCTCCGTAATTTCTGTCATCTTTGGTTTCATCAACTGGCCCATCATACTCATTATGTCTTGTCCACCTTGAGGTCTGGCGTTCGCGATATCGAGATCATGTAAAGTAACGTCCTGTACTATCTCCTTCTTCTTGTTAACTTCGCCCTTTGGTATTGGCACATACTCCTCCGCCTCCAGGTCGAATTCGGTCGCATACGCATCCGATCTGCCAACACGTTTACAGGCTCCAGTATTGGCTTCGATATAAATAACATCTCCAACTGTAACCTTTTCTTTCTGTATAGCCTCGTAGATGCTTGGATCCAATCTTAACTTCTTTTGGCCCTTGGCGCTCTTCAATCCAATCAACAATGTGCTGATGGTCTTTCCATAGCTTCCCAATGGATTTTCAGCTTCCTCTGGTGTTAACTCTGTAACCTCGCCCTCGTAGACCTCCTTCGTTTCACGAACTTTCAGACCAATGGCTCGTCGAAAGTTTTCCATGAGCGCCTCTGTTTTCTTGACTTCCGTCGAGTATACTTCGCTTGCGACGATGGGGCAGAATGGTACTTTTGTTCCAAGTTCCTGACTGATAGCTAAGGCGAGAGCAGTCTTTCCTGTTCCAGGTCCTCCTGCAAGTAAAATAGCTCGGCCAGCCATTTTTTTGGAACGAATTAAGTCGACAACCACACCACAAGCCTGTAACCAGGATATATTAGTTAAAGCTCTATCATCCATCATGCATACCAACCCACCTCTCGAGCTGCAGTTTGACCAACAAATCCACCGGCTTGCTTCTCAGCAGATCCATCATTTCGAAGTCCAAGACCTTTGATATGTGTATGCGTAGAAGTTCGATTGTCGCGGGAGTTTCCCTTAACATCGCTGAGGTTTACCATATTCGCGATTTAACTGCAGTCAGATATAGGTAGTAATTACTGATATCAAATACGTAAAATATTTGATCAAATATGAATATTAAACTTCTTCTCAAATATTACAAGGTGGAATTAAATCGATGATGATTGGCACAAAATCAATTATTCTTAAAGCTTCAAGATGAATTTCTGAGAATAATTTCGCGGAAGGCTGGCTGCACATGTAAACGCGACTGGTAATTACTAGGTAAGCGGTGGGTCCGATTGAATAAGATCACGTGAATGTACACAAGGCTGATGGATACTCCTGATTGATTGATCATCCATCTGCAGCCTCTCCTAGAGTTTGAAGTCTGCAGGTGTTTGGTGAACTCCGGTTATTTGCAGGATTATATGAGGCTATCCGTTAGTCTCGCATTTGATTGATGGATTTAGTAATCGGTCAAGCTTACAGTATACAGTATGATAATTAGATCTCGACGAGTGAAAAGTGCATGATGGACAAAACGACTGATTCGCAGTCCTTGATATATTGTTTTCCACGAAGTTAACTACTCCAAACAGGCCATTTTCCCATTCCTCCATAGTTCTATTGCCTATCCTCTCCCTTCTTTTTGAAAACTCCTCGGCCATATGCGTCATGGAATAAGTTGCAGCTTAATTTTTATCCCACCCTAAACTTATGCAGACGCCCTAAAGTAGAATAGAACCTCGTGCCATGCAAACGATGACCCCAATGCAAAGTGTATTTCCTCTCAAACGCCTGCAACACTTCCAAAAAGAGTAAGGTATTCCAAACGCCTCCAAAAATCGATGCAGCAGAACAAACGAAACACACAATCAATGACAATCAAGAAACTCTCCATCTTCACTGGATCTGTCAGCCGTTCTTGGGCGTTCGACCATCTCAGTAGGAGATTCTACCATTCTGTTTGGGCCCAATTGACTCAATCTTAACTTCTCGTCGAACATGGAAACCAGTCTGTCGGAATATTGGTCAAGTATTCCTGCTAAAACTGTCTCGCTGATAGTTCTAGACTTTTGGCTTCTATCCCCCAGTGCTACCGAGGTTAGTCGCAACTCCTGGTCTAGCTCCTTTAGACACTCTTCATCTATAGTTTCAGTAGATAAGAGCTTTCTTCGGTACGCTCTAAGTGTTCGACAAGCTTGCTCTGTCGCCATGTTAAGTGATCCGGATTCAGTTATGCCAGTGCTTGAACTTTTGCCCCGGCCCCGTAAGTCTACCGACGCCGTCGAAGGACGTCTGACCTCTCTTGTTTGAGGACTGTTTGGACTCCGAGATCTGTTCCTTGGATACGATCTACGTCCTGTATCATCTGATGCAGATGCGAAGTGTTTAGATGGCACAGCTTGCACAGATGGAATTGATAATGTAGGGTTCTGATTCGCCAAGCCGTATTTCGAGGTCTTACGTTTGATTACCCGAGGTGGCGAAGATGACCCAGGAGGAGTAGCTGTTGGTGACGCTCGTTGAAACTCAGCAAGTTCAGCTTTCGATAGAACCCTTCTCAATGGCTGGCGCGAGGTCGGTGGATCCTTTGGTGGTGTCTCATCTTGGGTGCCGTCGTTTGACTCAGGCTGATTCTGTGAGTAGGCGGTGGCATTAGAAGCAATATCCCACATCATGATTGTGCCATCCAGCCCTGTGCTTATCAACACTCTAGACGACGAATCGATGTTCTCCAGAAGTGTGACACCTGATACGGAAGTAGTGTGCCCCCATTCGCGATCTAGGAAAGATCCAGTACTCCAGTCATAGATACGAACAGACTTATCAGTAGTCGAGACACCAGCGAGAATTGTACTAGGCTTGCCAGAAAGTACACTAGGTGCACCCATTACAAGAGAGTCCAGAGCGACAGCGTCTGCTCCATCATAATCTGTTGCTCGAAATGAGTTGACAAGGCGTCCAGTGGCTATTTCGTATGTAGCTACTGTGCGATCCAACAAAGACACCACAATATTACCTACTTGAGGACCGAGACAGGGCGTCATCGAGACAGGCGCAGCTTTCAAGGTGATGATACGGACTGGAACAGCAGCCAGCGCGTTTCCTTCTGCTACTTCTTTTTTTACAAGTTGCCGGATGTGGATTGTCCTATCCATCCCACAAGATATGAGTTTCTCGCCATTCTCGGCGAAGAACAAACCGCATACGCCAGCAGTATGTTCATCTAAAGTTTGTACCAGCTCCCACTTATCTGAGACAAGACGGAACAATTGAATGGTCCGATCTCTACTACATGACGCTATCATCGTTGATGTATCATCCTCATAAATGGTGATATCTTGAATCTCGATCGAATGAGCACGTGTCTCAAAAGTGCATGCACCCGTGGATGGATCCAATATTTTCAAAACTCCGTACTTATCTCCAGACACCAGAAACAAGGCATCCTTTGATATTCTCACGACCTGACATGAGTTGGCGGCTTCTTCTTCTATAGACACTTGATCTATGCCGATTGTGATCGATCCTTTGCTGTTACCATGCAAGTCCCAAAAGGCAAGACTGCCATTGACCGACCAGGTAAGGAATGCTGCTCCCATCTGATTGATTTCGGGTAAGAGTTGCACACCCATTACTGCGTCGCCGTGAGCGGGTTGAAGTGTGTTTTGGAACCCATGATCAGCGTCCTCGTCGTCTTTCCCCCATATCTCAATCGTATGTCTGGAATCAATCGTAACGAAATTACCTCCAGCGTAGCCCATAGCACACAAATGGCCAGGGTCAATCTCGTCATTAGATTCATCTGATGGAAGGGGTGACAATGGAGGAGTAGATGGAGCTAGAAGTGTGTCCAAGGATACCGTTTTCACTTTGCCATTACGACCTCCTATCCTTACCTGCCGAGTTTCCATCTCAATAGCTATACATGTGACGGGAAATCCGGTGCTCAAAACTTTGATCAGTTTTTGGCCTTCTGTGCTGTCCAGGAGGCAAACATCTCCTTTTTCCGAGCAGACAATGGCCCTGTGGTCAGACAAAGAAGCTACACAAGTGAACGTTGCATCCACTAATGGCCCAAGTAAACAGTTCCGGCCAGTAAGAGTTTTGAGCGCTGGTTGTACTGGTAGTGGTAATGGTGTACCGTCAAGTGCAAATTTTTGTTTTGGTGAGGGACATCGGCCATCTTCGACTCTCCATACTTTTATATGGCGAGTTCCCACAGTGACTACATTCCCTCCCAACCACAACATCTGCTTGATGAAACTAGTACATTTGTTGCTCGAATGTAGCTTCGCTGTTCCATTCTTTGGATTTATGGACCAAACGTGAAGAAATCCATCGTTAACATTACCTAAGCTGGCAAGATATTTGCCATCAGGACTGAATGATATGGCGGCGACACCATATGTATGCTCGGTAAGAATAGCGAGCGGTGTATCTGAAGAACTGTCTTGTAAAGAGAATATTAAAACTCTGGGGGCGTATCCTGTCTATATCCTTATCAGTCAATACACAAATATCGGTACAAACCTGCTTACCTCGCCCACAGCCAAAAAGCGACCATCAGAACTAATAGACACACATGTAGCCGCTTTAATCCTTTCCCTGCTTGACCATGTCTTTGATGAAGAGTCACCTGATTCTAAACTCGTATGTGCAGTGGATGGAGCATATGGGATTGCAGCATCTCGAAACCCTTTCCCGTTTCTGCCGTCATTGGCATTGTTGGCAGGTGTTGAAGGTCCACCTAGAGCTATATTACATGTATTGGCGGCGACTGCTGTTGGAGAAGCCCGAAAAAAACGTTGAGAGTGTTTCCCCTCATCATCAATGTCAACAACCACTACTGCGGCCCCAGCTGTATATGCAAATATCCGAGATGTCGAAAGACAGTCGAAACATGGTGGAGAAGATACTGTAGTTCCAATTATTTTCTTCAATGATAATCCTAACTCGTAGGGATTCCTGTTTTTATTCGAGGGGCGCGGGGTTCGTGGGAATGGAGAAGGACTAGCTTTTAAACCAGGTTTTGTGTTCGCAGCGAAGGTCCTTGAATTGATGGGTGTCGAAGCCATTATCGACTGTTCATGAAACAAAACACCGGGATAATATAAATGCAGTGGTCGAAGCTCTCTTCTTCGTCCAGTGCTTGTAGATGGATGTTGATTTGGTGCTTCAACCTTTCTAAAATTTGGGAAACGAATTGAGTTTTGTGCGCCTCGAAAGAAAATTTGGGTATCATGAAGAAGAGAAAATCAAAAAGTGCCTAGGGATCATGACGTTGATTAGCTCGTTGAATTTTCCTATCGTGATTTCCTTTACACACCGATTAGATCAGATCAGATCAGATCTGGAAAAAGGGTGAGAGTGAAAGTGGGAGGGAGGGGAAGAAAGAAGGAACTTTTAATAAGAAGTCCTCAAAACATTGATCAACTTTGTTACGGTATTTTTAGTACGACGACACAACGAGGAGAACGAGCAGTACCTAAGGAAATCAAAGATCAGAAACAGAAAACTAGAATATTAGCAACCAAAAAGTGGCAGCCCAAACCACCTCTTTTCCCTATCTTTTTCTTCTTTTCTTCTTTTGCCCTATCCTATCGTGACATGCAAAGAATCATAATTTACTGGGGAATGTTAATATGCGGTGTCTACCCGTGGACCGTCTTGAATCTTGATGCACTGGAATTTGACCAAAACCAGAAAGTAAAGGTCTGTGTCTAACCCTTGCCCTTGTTTACAGGGTCGTGTTAATCAGGGGAAGGCTCGGGAATGGATCTACTCGAGGAACTCGACCACCAATTGGGATCTTTCCAGAATGTTATTGGTCCATTTTAGGTTTATTTGCCAACAAATTGGTTGAACCATATCTTAATGGACATTGATAATTTGATAGATAATTTGATAGCTATCAAACTATCAAACTATCAAACTATCAAACTATCAAATGTAGCTGGGTAGCTAGGTAGCTAGGTAGCTAGACAGGCCTCCAGCTGTTCGTTCTCGAGTCCGACTTCACATCTATTAAAGATCAACAAGCAGTGTCACATATGTGTTCAAGTATCGTTGATTGATTTCCGTCGTACTTACATGGCACACAGATGACCTACCAATGATAGACACGAGAGAGTAGTGAGCATGTCTGAGAAGTAATAACGGCCATGCTATCTGATAATGTCTTCCAAAAGACCCTCGTGACCTTTAAGATTGAGTAATATTAGTCTACCTAGATATACGTTGGATGCAATATCAATAAGATGGTAGCAGGGCAATTAAAATTTGTCGATCAATATATGGTCCCGTTCCTACGAGTGGGTTTGTTCATATTCTTACATTGTCATTATACACATTCGAGAATAATTAATGCTCAAAAGATCCTATCCTCCATTTCGTCATCGAGACTGATGGTCGCTGGCCTTCGAGGTTCCGAATTCCCAGGTCGACTAGTTGTAAGGACAGGAGCTGCTTTCCTTTTCCATTCCGGCTTACCCCTACCTATACCCTCCTCTCTCCATTTGCGGGGCGGTTTCACTCCCAATTCAGCATATTTACCCCATATGTTCTTCCCTCTTTGGAACCATCTTCTCTCACGATCGGCTTCCTCTTCTGGCTTCGGTACCCATGTACTCCTCAGTATTCTCCGAATTGCTTCTGCAGATACTTCAAAATGATCGGCCAATGCAGCTGTTGAATATTGCTCAGGGTATTGAGCATGCAATGCTCGAATCCCTGCCTGCGCTTCCGGCGACAATCTCTTCATCGGCTTCCAACCTTCAGGGAATTTTTCCTTCAATGCTGCTTTTTGTTCCATCCAAGTTTGACGCTTCGGAGGGACCCAACCATCATCCACCATGTTTCTATTCGGTGTGCTGGCTTGTGGGGAATGTGATACTGCGTTGTCGATTTTGATGCTTCTAAACCTGATTTTTTCCTCATCTGTAATCCACCTTGCCTTCTTCAACGGTTTGGAGAATATGTCTATCGGTTCTCTCTGGACCCACGACTCCTCCATTATTTCTGTTGGTTGGGTCGATTCACTTGCCCTCTCGGCTTTCCACGGTAATTTCGATTCCTTTGATTCTTTTGATTGAAAATCTGCCAACTCAGATCGTGTCTCCGCAGCAAGGGCATCTATCGATTCTGGCGTAATTTCCATGAACAGGTTATCTAGATAATCAATATCACTTTGTGTAGTATTCTTGTGCCCTTCCGTCGCAGATGAGAGTTCTTCTTGCTTTTCGATAGGGGCATCTTCATCACTACTTCTGATATGTTGAGATGAATACACCGACGAATATGCTCTCGAGTATGAAGAAGATGGATATGAGACTGAGGGGGCATTAAACCTTCGAATGTTAATTCTTTGCGGTCGATGGTGGATGGAAGTGCTTGATGCAGCCAGATCAAGGTGGGCTACATGGCGAATAAACAATCGAAGAGTTTTGGTTGTACAAGAACAAGACATGACTATTTGTATTCTTCAATGGAAATAATGTGAGTTTATAGACGGGCAATAGGAAACATCAGAATTCATGGAAAAGAAAATCTTCGCCTAGGAATTTGACTAGGATTTCTTATCGAGATGCTTATCCGAGTCGATCAATCTGTCAGCCATGCCAGTCCAGTCATCACTTGATCCGAACATCAACGGTGTCCGCGCATTCACTTCTTTCATCGACCTAAGTGAGTCTCATCATTGATTCCCGTCAAGACTGATCATCAATGCATTTTGATACATCTTGACTGTTGATATACAATCTATCGGTAATCGTCTTATATGTTCCATCTCATCTTCTTTCATATTCACCAGTCAGGGTATGGTTTCCTGCTTTTTAGATTACCTAGGTAGGCACGCTACCTTTAGCTTTTAGATACGCAAATAGCGTACTTGTCAAAATATCTATGATGTTGATGTCGACTTTACCCGTAGGTGAATAAATTGGAGTGAGGCGTTTGTGGATCTAATTCTCATTTATGCTTCCGGCAAATCCAAAAGACTTTCTTACCCTTTCACAAGTGTTTCTTTTAAAATAAAAAAAAAGAATAGCTTCGTTCTTTTTTCTCATTGTTCAATAAATTTCAGGTGCTCTCTTCATTCTTTCTCGCATTGTCGTTTACATGGCTTTACCTAATCCTTTTCGTCGAAATGATGAGAATACTCGCCACGCCTGGGGATATACCTTCCAATGGACCCCTGATCATCTGACAGAAGAGCAAATGCATCCCATGAAGTTTTCATACGATATTCTAGCTGAAGAATGCTTAAATCTTTTGGACAAACTATCGCCACCCACATCAGGAGAACTTCCCAGAAATCAAAGTACGATTCCGAAGGGAAAGGAAGGCAAAGAACTACCCAAAAGAGATTTGTATGTCTTGTTGAGAGATCATGCTTCCGAAGATGAAAAACTCGGGGAACTATGGAATGAAGTTAATACAATACCGGATTGGGTTGTGAGTGGTTTAGTGCCCTTGGTATCGGTGACTTTGCTCAAGCTAGATTTAGGACTGGGAACAAATCGAAAGAGGTCAGGAAGTGTTTTATAGATATGGAGGTGCTGTATTGACTGGAGTATGTTACCTACACTCGTTCATCTAATGCAGATACTGATTCAATATTCTAAAGTTGGCATATCAGTCATTACTCGGTGGAATGGGCGCAGCTAGAGTTACAGAGGTTTTAGCTAGGACTGGTGGCTTTTCTGCAAAGGTAAATACGATACATTGAAATTGCATTGCATTGCTTGGACTTTCATGTTTTCTACTAGAAAAGTTTCAGTAAATTGCCGTTGGTGGACTTCCTTTCAAAAGCATACTTTCTACATTGGGCCTAAATTTTCAAATATTCTCTATGTTTACCAACTTTCTCCCCTCTCATCTAATCCAATAATAGTCAGCCAGAAGAAGAATGTTCGAAACGACCCAGCTCCTCCTTCAAGTAACTCAATCCCTTGAAGCCATCAAACCCGGTGGCACAGGCCACATATCCTCCATAAAAGTCCGTCTGCTCCATGCCGCTGTCCGCCGCCGCATTCTAGCTCTAGCCAAAGAAAGGCCCTCCTACTACTCAATCACAGATCACGGCATCCCCATCAATGACCTTGACAGCATAGCAACCATCGGCACCTTCTCCACGACTCTAGTCTGGCTCTCTCTCCCCCGTCAAGGCATCTTTCTCCGCCCCCAAGAAATAACTGACTACGTTGCTCTCTGGCGTCTCGTCGCCCACTATCTCGGCACCCCAACTTCCTTCTTCGAAACTCCTACCTCGGCAAAAACCATCATGGAATCTCTCCTGCTAACCGAAATCAATCCTTCCCCTACTTCCCAAATTCTCGCCCAAAACATCATCCTCTCCCTCCAAAACCAAGCCCCAGCCTACCCCTCCCGCGCCTTCCTCGAAGCCAACGCTCGCTGGCTGAACGGCCACTTACTCTCCGATGCTCTTGGCCTCGGTAACCCTCCCATATACTACTACATCCTCGTCGCAGGCCAATGCATCTTCCACATGACAATCAGCTATCTCTACCGCAGCATTAACCACCTCGATTGCAAACAAATCGTCTTCTTAAGAAGGGTCTTGCCAATGGTAATCCATAGCCCGACGGTGGGGATTGCAGGGGAAACGGGCTTCGAAATGCAGTATGTACCGGAGTTTACCACAAAAACGGAGTTGGGGGAGTTTGTGAAAGGGGAGAATAAGGGGAGTGTGGAGGTGAGAAATTTGAAGGCCGTCGGATTGGCGGTTGTTGGGGTGGGAGCGGGAAGTTGGGTAGTGTGGAAAGTGTTGAGGGGTTTGGTGATGGGCGTGGTGGGAATGGGAAAGCGAGTGCTTTGGCTGTGGGGATGAGGAGTACAGAGGAAGGGAAATCATGGACTGTATTTTTGTAGTATCTTGTATCATTATTGCTTTCTCTCTGTACACAGCAGCGGAAAGCATCGCGTTACAACTTCGCATTACAATTTAGCATTCAAATCAAAGAGCACTTTTGAGAAATTTATTTAGAAGAATATTTTTGTGTTTCGCATGATTATCATCATGGATCTTCTCTAGACCCTAAACTCTCCTCGCTCCTCTCATGTATCATACAAACGCGCCATATGCCGTAGCATTTACTATCTCATGTAACGCCACGCCTGGCTTCTCAACTCCTCGCAATGCACCTAAGAAGACAACCAAACGCAATGAGAATAATCTTTTTGCTTCAACCCCAAGCGAACGCCAATGAAATGCCCGAAGCCGACCAAAAATAAAAGATGCCCTCTCCAAAATTCTCCAAATTAGACTACCATCATATTCATATACACATCTCTCCGCATGCCTACTCGCATCTAAAACTCCATCAACTCAACAGGCGGCCTAGCAGTATGCGCCAAGATCGGCTTCTCCATCTCTAGCGGAGACACGCCCCAATCCTCTCCCGTGGTATCCTCCACGGCTATCGCAGGCAGATTGGGACTGTGTCCATGAGCCTGGGGATCATAGATGGTAGTCGTGCTCGCGCTTCTTCCGCGACCATTTTTCAACGACTCGCCATTATCGCTCATGGGGCTCGCGGGCAAATCGGTGGTGGGTCGGTGATGCAATTTCGCGAGGGCTTCGGCGAGATCTTCGGCGTGCACTTGCTTGTTGGGGGCATCTTCCATTTTCATTTCCCAGCCGTGGGGAGGCGAGGGAGGGGGGGAGATGAAGAAGAGTTTTCCGGCGTCGGGGAGGTTGAGATGCGTGTCTTTTGGGGAGATGGAGGTTGGCTGGCCGAAGTAGACGCGCATGCGCTCGCCCATGATTTCTTCGCCGTCGAGGATTTGGCGGATGCGGATGGCGGATTCTTCGGAGAAGAAGGAGACGATGATGCGGGAGAAGGATTTCAAGGGGGCCCAGGAATGGATGGGGGCCGAGGTGTTGATGAGTTCTTTGATAGATTGGAGATTGTCTGCGCGGAAGATCTCGCTGTCTTTGAGATTCGTTATGAGGAGGGTGTTAGATGGAGGTGTGGGTTGTGAGAGAGGGGGGAGATTGGAGAGATCGAGGGAAAGCGATTTGTGGGATCCTCTGCGCGAAGAAAGAGTACTTCCAGTTGGGGAAGTTGGAGATGACATGGTTGTGATCTGTGATTGAATTGTATTGTGGTTGTAGTTGTGGTTGTAGTTAAATGAAAGAAGATATGAGTTTCGGTGAAGGAAGAAGAGTGTTTTGATAGACGAGTTTCTTATATGTCGTTTAGTTTACACTTTGACGTTTTGAGTGTATGTATGAAGAGAGAGAGAGAGAGGTAGGTAGATAGATGTATTTGTTTCTTGATTGAAAACTTGATAGAGAAGAGATATTTTCCAGAAAATGAAGAGGGCTTTTAATTGTCTTTGTACTTGGGCTGTAAAAGAACTGGAGCTTTGATAATGTGTAATCTGTATCTAGTGGTTTCCGGACATTAAAAGTGGTGGTCCCGGCCTGGCAAGGGTCATATTGACTTGTTTGCGTGGAGGCGAATGATGGCGCAGCGGCGCAGCAGCAAAACAAAGTTTTAGTGTGGATTAGCAGGTTTTTACTTGCGTAGTACCGGCAGGTGATGATTACTATCTGGCTCGCTGGATAGATACGGAGTAGAGGAAGGAGTACGAGGGTACGAAGGTACGAAATTCACACGAGAAAGCCATGAGCAATGAGCAATGTCTTGTCTATGCACCACCTGCATGTAACCATGTTTCTTATCAAAGTTGTAAGTTGTCTTGTCGTTTGTTGTCTCTGATACAGATACATACACACAAGAGAAAATAGAATAAGCGGTTCAATTCACCTCTACAAACCAATAATCTTTATCAATTCAATCACGATGGCATTACTCAAGACTTTCTTATTCCAGCTTTCCCAGCCACTTGATCCGAGTCTGATTTTGATATCTCATACGGAATACTCATTAAGCGCTTCCATCAACGCGTCCGACGCAACTACGAAACATCCTCACCAATTTAGCCAAGTCTCCAGAATTTCATCCGTGTTTCTTCCTTCGTCTGCAATGGGAGAAGGAGGTGAAGAATAGACCCTTGAGAAAGCGGAACCTACGGCAGAGAGATTGTCAAATAATTCCAAGACTTATTACAATGTGTCATATTCATGGTTGTGTTATGTTATATTTTGTTATGTATGTTTTTACACAGGTGCATACATACATACGAGATATCTAGGAAGTTTCTAGGTCGCTTGGATGTCACGGCTATGTAATGCTACGTGATAGTGATAGTGATTCAGAAATTACTTGGAGAGTAATTAACCTACAGTACCAGATATCTATCATCCTCTACAGTTATTTGCTACATGATGAATTTGCTACACGATGGATGATCGACCATGGATCAATACTCGAATGCTCAAATGCTGAGCCTCAACATTGCGCAAATGGAAGAATGGGAATGGGGAAGAATGATTTACCCAAAGAAGTAACCCTTCCATACTCATCCATGCCATCAATGCCAGGAGATACCAAACCCACTGAAACTACCAAACAAGTTACAACTTACAGCCCTCACGGAAAGCTTAGATCTACTTGTTGTCCATGTCTTAAGATTGTTTTGATTTCTATATTGTGGGGTCTTAGTCGTGTCCTTCTTGGGATCTTCGAGTACGAAGGACTTCATACCATGGCGACCTGTTAAACCTAGGAAGTATTAGAACACTGCCTTCGCATGTTCTCCCTAGTGGCTCTTGCGTACTCTGTACACGAAATTCGAATCTTCAATAGAAAACGGTTCCACTTCGTCGCCCACAACTTAACCGCCTAGATCCCATTCATCATCTTGTAGATGGCCCAACGACAAAGCCCAGATTGGCGACGGGGATTAGATTGAAGCATGTACGAGATTGTGACTTGTGAGATTGGTCCTCGATTGCCCAGCTCGCCCAGTCTGTATCCCTTCCTAGAGTTTCGTCTTCATGTCTCTCGTTGAGGGCGCAGCGATAATTCCTCCATAATATAAGCTTTTAGTTTATTGGTCCACTGATCATATCATCATGACAGTCAAAGACTGACTTGAATCCTGTCATTAAGGTTACAAATGTAGAGAGTTTCACCTGTCTACTCCAATCAAGTTCGAAATGAATCGCAGGTTAGAATCACGTAGGCCTCTTTGCAACAAACATCCCCCAACATCCATCCGTCCCCCCTCTAGATAATACTCAGCCTTCTTCTTACGCACCCGCTTGCAGACGAGAAATGACAAAGAATCATATAGCCGTCATGGGAAATTTCCAAGACCATAAGACCGTTTTCAGTATTTCAGCAGGTCTCTCGAGGCGTAGTTAACTGTTAGTATTTACACATCATCGTATAATATTCTCAATAGTCAGTCTTTTCTTTCGTACCATTGCCACAAGGTCTTGTCCGAGGTGATCTCACGTTCTGGCCCTTTTACCTTCTACACAGCCTCCTATCCACATTTTGGCGTACGACCGCTTGTTTGTAAGATGAGATTATGTAATCAACATTCAATATTCTAACAAGGCTCGGCTAAACTCTTTTGCCATTTCTCCGAGACAAGGGATGGATGTTCCTTCAGCCTCTATCAACCGCAGTATCTTTCGTATTGTCATTGCAGAACCTAAATTTCATAACCAGATACTTCAGCCTTGCAGAATACCCACAGTCATTTCAAATTCATTATCACCCGTGGCTCAGACTATTCAGGAAATTCTTTGGAGTGAGAATTGAGTTCAGCCTAAGGGGTTAGGTTGTCTATCCTCGCGTTCTCCGGATTTCAGTCCACCGCAAGGCCCGCCCAAGCAATTCGCCCATCAGCAAATTTCTTTGTCAAGTCGCCCAATATGGATTACGATCCTATGGTAATGGACCAAGAGTCCTCAGGACCTCAAGTCAAGATCACAGAGGTAAATTCCACATTGCTATAGCTGAATTTAATGCTTTGGAAGCTCATGCGCATTGTGTCATAGGCTGGTTCACATCACGTCGACTTTGAATTATCCAACGTAGACCTCTCCTTTGCAAACTCGCTCCGCCGAACCATTCTCTCAGAAGTCCCAACAATCGCTATCGATCGAGTCCAAATCGAAGCCAATACATCAGTCCTAGCAGATGAATTCATCGCGCATCGACTTGGTCTTATCCCACTAAACTCGAAGAATTGTGATGATGTTATCTATACGAGAGATTGCGATTGCGATGGAAACTGCGAACTCTGCAGTGTTACACTTACCCTCCACGCAAGATGTACGGGTGATGAAATCATGAAAGTCTATGCGCGCGATTTGGTGGTTGATCCTCAACGTGCCAACAAATGGGTTGGAAATCCTGTCATCACTGATCCAGATGGACTTGGACCAGTCATTGCCAAATTGAGAAAGGGACAAGAGATACGCATGAAATGTATAGCCTTGAAGGGTATTGCAAAGGAACATGCGAAATGGGCACCTACAGCTGCTGTCGGCTTCGAATATGATCCACACAACAAATTGAAGCATATCGATTTGTGGTATGAACATGATGCTGCAAAGGAATGGTATGTAATTGATCCTTTAGTGGGACCAAGAAATTATGCTTACTTAGCCACCACAGGCCCAAGAGTAAATATGCGGATTGGGAAGAGCCAGCCCAAGAAGGCGCTCCCTTTGATTACGATGCCGTTCCAAATAACTTTTACTTTGAAGTCGAATCAATTGGCAACCTAGAGCCCGATGCAATTATTCAGCAAGGCATCAAAGTCATGCAACAGAAGTTGGCTGCAGTCCTTCAGGATCTTACCGAGGGAGATGGCCAGGCTAATGGTGGTGGATATGATGCGCCTCAGAGTCCAGACGTTGGTATGAATGGCCATGGTTGGCAAGACCCGGGCTATGCTACGCCATATGGTGGGGGTAATGCTTGGGGTGGTGCGGGTGGTGCAGCTACTCCTTATGGTGCTACTCCATATGGCCAAAATGGTCAAAGTGGATGGTAAAGGGTATCCGTTCATGGTTGACGAAAGGGTATTAGAAGTCTGTCATGAAGAAATGAGTCTCCGGTTTACTTTTCATGACGATGAACATAATTGGGCTCTCTCCACCTTCTTCGTTTTTGAAGAGATATGTCTTTTGATTCTCGAACCAGAGCAAGCGACATATATCGATGACATTTGATTCAGTTTGACCCAAGGAAGATCAAAGAAAAGTGTTCCTTACACTAGGTTGGCAACGACCAGGGAAATATCAAAGCAAAAAAAAAAGCAAAAACAAGAGAACTACACACAAAATAAGATAAAATGTACAATCAATAACTGCATAACGTGGAGGTGGATGGGCATTATCTGGGTCGGATTGGCGTTTACAGGACGTTTTCCTAAGATTCTACAGTATCTAAATGGATAGGAAAGGATTGCAATGATCAATCAATACATACATACAAACTATTTAGACCCTTATCAATGAATGAATTCCACGAACCTGTGCTATTTTCCTCTTCTTTTCCTTTTGGTTTGTGCTGCACGTTGGATAGGGTTAGAGAGAGATTCTCTTCTTTACCAATGGATGGATGAGTGCTAATATGTGGTCATTGAATGAATGGTATCGTCTAGATGAAAATTCTTCTCATCGAAGTAAACTGTAAGTAATCACGATATTTACTTTGAGTTTCTCATACTCTCCCTCTTCCTCATACTCTCTCTCCTTTTCCTTTTCCTTTTCCTTTTCTTCTCTTACATCCATCTTATATCGTATATCTTGTACCCCCCCTATTTCTATTCTTTTCGGGGGTTGTTTTTGTTTTTGTCTGCTATTTATATATTCGTTTCATTCGGTTTATTCGATTCATTTGTTGAATTTGTTAGTTAAAGTTGTTTCATTCATTGCTCATCTTCTCTCTCATCTTTTCTCTCTCGGCGGTTCTTCTCCCTCTATACTTTTTTTTTTTTTTTCCAAGAAGAGAAGAGTTGGGTAGGATGGGAGTAGAAGAGTAGGAATTGAGTAGAGTAGAGTAGGATGAATTGAATAGAAGAGTAGAAATAAAAGAATAGAAATAGAAAAGGAGGGTAGAGCAAAACAGAGCAGAGCAGAGAAAACTATAAAAGAGAGAAGAAAACGAAAAGAAAAGAAGGAAAAAAGGAAATAGAAAAGAAATAAAGGAGACAGGAGTTAATGTTCTTTAGTTTTATAAATATAGTATGAAATCTGTAATATTGTTATATTGTTATACTCTCCTACTCTCCTACTTACTATACACATCTATATAGTATTTATCATCATCACTATCACAAGTCCAATTGCAATCGCAAGTCCAACTAAAAGTCTAATCACAAGTTCAAGTCCAAATCCAAGTTCAAGTCCAAGTCCAAATCCAAGTCTAATCATAAGTCCAACTCCAAATACAATTCCCCAAGTAAAGTAATCCTATCCCTTCATACCATATACATTTTCACAAACATATATATATATATACACCTAGGTATCTACCTACCGACCTACCTACCCATCTATCTACATACCTACCCACTTACCTCCAAATACAAACAAACCCACACACCCATCTCAATCCTCACGCATTCCAACATTCTCGATTACAAATATGTATTCCTATCTCCAAGCTCCAAACATACATTCCCACCATTGACCAGTGACCAGTAACCAAGAACTACTGACTAGCCACAATTCTGCTCACAAACTCTAGGCTCCATAATCCTCCCAACAGAAATCACAACTCCGGGATTTAGACATCAATTTTCATATTCACATTGCACAATGATAAAAATCTGCTCAACCAACAAATCAATTCATTCATTCACCCCCTTTCTCTCTCCCACTCCTATTCCCCCACCCTTCTTTTCAACACCATCATCTAATAGAAAAAAAAAGAATAACTAAAAAAATAAGTAGAGAAGTAGACATAATAAATGAGCATAGTAACGCTATATGCTGGTATTTATATATACCAAACCATAAGCCAACCGCCCTCTTTGTACCCAAGAATCCCAGGAACCGAAGACGCCATGTCTGATTTCGTTCCATTGAACCTATATCAAGACCCCCATATAATCAATCCAAAACACCATGTAATGTATATAATGCATAATGAATGTATGCCATGCACTTTCCCATATCCAAAATTAAACTACAAACTCTTTCAAATCAACCATACCTAACACTTGGTTGCCATCCAGGTGGTTCCTGTATCCACCTTCCATCTACCCAAGTACCTCCACTAGGAGCCGCCGCTCCTCTCCCTCCTCTGGGACCGTTCAGAGGAGCTTGCCACATATTCGGTCCTTGTGGCCAACCTTGCGGGTTATTGATTGCTCTTTCTTTTGCTAATCTAATTGCCTTTCTTCTTCTCATCCTGCCTATACAGCAACTGAGTATTGCAAATATGACCAAAGCGCCAACTGCAGAAGCGATACCTATCACGAGATTTTTATGTTCTTGTATCCAGGAAGTGATCTCTTTGCCAACTGACGAACCCTTGCAATCACCATTGGAACATTTACCACCACCTTGACAAGATGTTCCGTCGAGGAAGTTTTGCTGCATGGAGTAGCAAACGTTCGAGCCGAATTCAGGGGAAGCACAGGAAATTTGACAACCAGAGGAGGAACAGGCATATGTATCGTTACCTGTGGTGTATGATCCCATAATGGTTTTGCATTGAAGATCACGCGAAGTACATTGACCTGAAGCACAGGACAAAGAGGAAGAATTGCCACAAGAAGTTCCTGTTACAAATTAGTATAAATTTTGGAGAATGAGGATATTACGAGATCTTACCATCAGGAGCTGTGGCATCTTCAGGACAAGTAGCAGCAGTTCCGCTGCAAACTTCTTGTGGATCACAGACACCCGTACTAGAACGGCACACTGTACCATTGGATGCAAACTGACAAGTCGATGTACAACAGTCCTCATTGCTAGGATCACAAACCGAATTTGTCGTAAATTTGCAAGTGGTTGGGTCACAACAACTATTGCTCCCACACCCACTAGTTCCACCACAATCACAATCTTCGCCTGATTCCACAATTCCATTACCGCATTGACTTGCGGTAATTATAGTGATATCCTTATTTGCAGTCAAACAACTGGTTTTGACACCATTTCTACCGATAGCCGAACAAATGTTTCCAATACTACAAGGTGAAAATTGGGTGATGCCACTTGAAGTGCTGGGATTCATGATGTATGCTCCCGCGGCATCACAAGTTGAGCTACTGAGGGGACAACATTGTTGTGCTGCGACTGTTTGACCATCATTACACGTTGACGATGTACAATCATGGACAGCTCCAAATGTATGCCCAGTCTCATGAGCAAGAACCTGCCATTCGGTACTGGTTCTAACCACTACATTGGCACCACTGACAGTTTCATTACCAGATGATGTTGAGGCTACCTGTGCGTCCGTGACACAGGCTTGACCAAGCCAAGCTAAACCGACAGCCTAAAAGGAGATTAGCAAATGATCAATGTGTCTCATTCATCTTTTCCGTAAATATTCCGTCATCAAATAACAGTCTAGTGAAAGAAACATGAAAACTTACACTTCCAGTACCACAAGTACTAAGCAAAGTCCAATAAGCATTAGTGTCCTGGCGCTCACCTCTCCACGCAGAAAATAAATTCAATCGATCTTGAATCGTAACACTATCACTACATCCCACATTCCAGGGAGCCGAAGAGGATGCAGTAGCGGGACAAGCAGCGTCACTGATGGTAAGATTTTGCAAACCCAGAGTAATGTTGAAACTATCCTCATACTGTACCGAAGCAGAGTTGAGGACCTGAATGACGTTTTCTCGGGCCGTTTCGGTAGAATTGAAAGCGGCTGTGTACGTACAGTCTGTAGCTATTCCCACGAGGGCGACTTTTCGAGTAGAAGGACATCCGGCTGTTGATCCAATAGTGGTAGCAAGGTTAACTCCTGCGGAATTTCCACCGGATTGTGTATCAAGTTGTCTTCCGAATATGGCTCGAGTCGAAATTGATCCCCAGAATCCCTCTTCTCTTCTCGCCATCGGCTCGTAGTTGTTGATTGGGTTATTCATCGTGTTGAAGTTAAGTCCATCTGCTGAACATGATGGACTCTCTCGTGCGCTTCTTCTCAAATCCGGGTGCATGAGTCCTTCGTTATCTTCGGTATAACCAGTTCCAATATCAGAATCCCTCCACACCACCATATATTCTTTCCCTTCTTCCGGTAGCGATGGATCCAATGCATGCCTCGTAGACATAAAGCTCGTCTTCGTCTGGATATGGTGATGATCTCCATCCAATCTAAATGCGCCTTCGAATAGAGGTTCATCGCCATCCTTCTTCACTATTATCCTCGCCCATCCCACATTCGTCCAATCCGCACCATGATAATGCTGTAGCCATGTCGACCCCTTGAATACCCGATGCGCCGACCTGTCGATAGTTTCTGAAGTCCTTATAGTTCCATCGGCAGCTAAATGTGTAATCGTGGCTCCATCCGCAATAACATCGTGATTGGGTTGCAGCGATAGCTTTACTCGTTGTTGTCCTCCATGCAATCCAAACTCGACATCAAAACTCGACAAGGCGTGGACTCGATGCGACGGAGTCCTAATGGTTGGAGCCTCGACCTTTGATATATATGTTAAAGGGTTTCTTTCGTTAGAGTGTGCTTTAAGGTTAATTCATTAGCTTTTGATAATCTCCAGATTTTAAGGCTGTTGGCTCGTCGGGAGAAGTTGCCATATTTTTGTTTGGATTTAAGATTCCAACTGATATCTACATGTGAGAGATTTGACATACCATTTATTGAATTTGAAAATAAAGCCGTCAGTACGACAATACTCCTCAATATGTACATGATCTATAGTTGTGTACAATTGTTGATCTGTTTGTCCTCACAATCTTTCGTTGCAATGGACTGGGGCACAGCCTGATGAGCACCACCAGCTCCTCTCGTATCGCAAAGCACCGAAGTTAAAGAATGTTGTACCCTTTGATTATCTCATGCGTAACTCGTAGTTGTGGAAAGTCTCGGAAATGTCCCAAGTATTATATTCTTCTTCTTTATCGTGAACAGGGTTTAAACAAAAAAGAGCGACTCGAATTATGATCGTATAATAAGTTTAAAGAACGAGGCGGCGGTGTTGATGTGATGAGGTTTTGGTAGGAATCGCGTGGATGGAAATTGAATGGAAATTTGAATGTTTGTAAGTAGAAAAAGTTAATGAGAGGCTAAACTGGTAGACGGACGTTTGGACTGATCTACTCTGTCAGATTGTAATAGATTGGTAGGTAGGTAGATAGATAGATAGGTAGGTAGTAGGTAGGATTCAATACAATCCTTCTCGTAGGATAAATTGTAAATGATAATAAATACTCTCCTTCCCTTTCTTATTGTTGATTGTATTAATTAATCGATGGATTGAGACGAAAGGACCATTCAAATATCGTTTCAGCCCCCTCAAATACTCGAAAATACACAAACAAAAAGACTTATCCTTCTCGTCTTGCCTTCTCTCGTTGTCGTGTTGTATATTGAATGAAATGTATTATAACAATCTCGTAACTCGAGTTTCCGGTATCCAATTCGACTCTGCAAGTGTTTGAGTGAGAGTGATTGTTGGTTCTAAGTACTGGTTGACCGTCCTTGTCGTTGGGGAAAACTTAATACAATGAATGAATGGAATCACACCGTGGCTGAGCTTTTATTTACATATGGATATGGACATTTAGGATACTGGAAGACCGGCAAACGCAAACTAATACGATTGATACGAGACGAGACGAGACGATGCAGAAGAAAAGAATAATGAATTAAGGAAATAAAATGTCTTGGGATGCAGCCAAATTTGAACCTAATTTCTCTTGGCTTAATATCATTATTATCAATTCATCATCAATCAATCAGTTCATCCATTATAATCTTCTGCTGCTTCTTCTTCTTCTTCTTCTTCTTCTTCTTCTTCTTTTGGCCCTACAGTTTGTCTTTCCGAAGCTTTCTTCTCTAAACCCGAAATCTTCGACCGATGGATGAACTTTATTCTTTTCTATCGGCATTCTGGGAGTTCTAGATGGTGGCACTACATACCAACCATGTGGCGGAGTAATGCACCTCTTCTGACCTCTTTCCGACCTTGACCTTGACCTTGACTCGAATCAAAGAAAACCGTTCTCTTGTATGGTAATTCGTTGCCCCTCCCCTCCCCTCCCCTCTCCTCTCCTACATTCTTTCAAGAAGGATTCAAACGAACCTGGGGTAACCTATAACATCGCTTCACGACCAATAATCCCAGCATCATCATCCCAATCCATCCATCTCCGTCTTCCTCTCAACCAATAACGTTCCTGCATATGATCAAAAGGTAGGACTCGGAAGAAGATGAGATGACATGAAACAAACAAACCGGGACTAATGAAGATCCATACATGGGATTTTCAAGGCGATCAACTCGGAGTTCATTCATCTACTCTGTACCTAGTCCCGCAAAGGTACCCATCATGATTTGCCAGCTGTCAAATCTACATAGAACTATACTCATTACGATCAATATCAATATGACATTCCTGGCGATCACAATAACGTGCCACTCTTTATTGAACTGGGAATGTATCTGCTACAATAGATTTGCTGGGAATGGCTGACAAGACGAGTTGAATGAAAGACATAAGCTCTAAATCGACATATATACATACATACATACCGGCCGAACAAACTACCCAGCTCCCATCCCCCCAAACACAAAATCATCAAATCATCAAACTATCTACCCATCTAAACTCCCGTTCCCTATCTCCCATTCCCATCCCCTACTCCCCCATATCACACCATCCAAACCTCACTCCCCTCACCCATCCACATCCACATCCACATCCACGCAATCTCCTCCGCCATATGAATCACCACCACCACCAGTTTGAGGCTATGCTATGCTATGCCATGCCACACTATACCACACTATACTACACTATCCACGAAACCCATATCTCCTCCTCTCCGAACCTATCCCGATTCCCGACGATCCCGTAGCACACACGTTTCTCCTCGCACGTCTCGCATCCCACCCAAAACAGCCCCAATAAGTGACGAGTCCAACATCCCCTCCCCCCTAACCCAACGATACCTACTACCAAGATAAGAAACCCATCGCGCCATTGCGCCATCGTTCTCACACGGTACATACCCATTACAAACCTTCCCCCTCATCCCCCACCAACCATCATACCATCATACCAAGACACCAGCCCTCCCATCGTTCATCTACATCCACAATCCATCCACAATCCATCCCCAACACATTCATCATCTTCAGCTTCTCCAAAGAGGCTGTGCAACACCTTAACAAAGAAGATAGGAGGTACACGTCCCAACCCATCAAATCATCGCCAGCCAAGCCCCTCAGAGTGGACACGCCAAGTTCACCATGCCAAGTCCCCTTTGGTTTCGGCAAATTTGTTCCGGCCGCAGTTGATCAACTCTTACCAATCCATCTCACCTCATCTCCATTCTCGAATCTCGAATCTCAAAAGCCGATTCGGATTTCATGTCATACATGTTACAGATTATATAGAATATAGATGTAAGCACTTCGAGTAAGCAAAGCATAGAAGAGTATTAATGGAACTATCATATGAAAGATTCTTGATTCATCATACTCAGCTAAATACCAATCAAATAAAAGCAACCTAACCCCCTGATATTCCCTCAAGACCAACCGAAACCGAACTTCATCACGAGTCCTCCAATATTGCTAACAGACTTCTTCGAGTCAAGTCCAATGACTGTAAGGAAAAATAAACTAGCATGACATAATCTGCATGCATTAAAAGCAATAAACAATATAAAACTCCTCTCTCCCATCATTAGAATACCCAATGTATCTCTTTTCATTACTCTACTTCTTTCTTGCGCTGTGAACTGTATCGATGATTTTCTCGACCACACTTGGATCGGAGAGCTACATATCGATGTTAGCGCTGGTAATTTTCATCAAAGGGGAAAATGACAAACATACCGTAGAAATATCACCCAATTGATCTTCTTCACCCGCTAGAATCTTTCTCAAAATTCTGCGCATAATCTTACCACTTCTAGTCTTTGGCAAATCTGGAACAACAAATACTGCCTTTGGAGCAGCGAATGGACCGATACTCTTTCGGACTTGTAAGATGAGATCCTTCTTCAATTGATCATCGACCTCATGACCGTCCTTAATAGCGACGAAAGCGTTGACTGCTTGTCCGGTAAGCTCATCGTTGATACCAACGACGGCAGCTTCAGCAACGGCATGGTGTTCAATCAAAGCAGCTTCGATTTCAGCAGTAGAGAGACGGTGACCGCTGACATTGACAACATCGTCAACACGGCCTCGAATCCAGTAGTAACCTTCATGGTCACGTCCTGCTCCATCACCGGTGAACTGTTCATGTTAGTAAGTTGCAAAGAAGAATTGGAGAATGAAACCTACGTAGTATCCCTTGTAGACGTTCAAATAGGTGTCCATATATCTCTTGTGTGCACCCCAAACGGTACGAGCCATACTGGGCCATGGTTGCTTGAAAGCCAATACACCCTCGACATCATTTCCGTGAATTTCTTCTCCGGAGACAGGGTCGATAATCGCAGGCTCGATACCAAAAAATGGAAGTGAGGCACTGCCAGGCTTGGTAGGAGTGACACCTGCGAGAGGAGTAATAACATGTGAACCGGTCTCAGTTTGCCAGTAAGTCTACAATTATGTCAGTATTAATTTCAATGACCAGGTCAAGATGGTCTTACGTCAACAACGTGAGCTTCTTCCTTTCCAACAATCTCGAAATACCATTTCCAGACCTCGGCAGCAATTGGTTCACCAACTGATCCCAATACTCTCAAGTGCTTCATCTGTGCCTTGACATGTTGGTCACCGGCGCGCTTCAATAGTCTGAGCGCTGTAGGCGCAACATAAAATTGTGTGACTTCGTGCTTTTCAATGACATCCCAGTACCTGGAGAAGTCTGGATATGCTGGAGTTCCTTCGAACACAACAGTCGCAACGCCAAGAAGAAGAGGGGCGTAAACTACATATGTATGACCAGTAATCCATCCGACATCACCACCACAGAAGAATTTATCTGAGTCGTGAATATCGAAAACATACTTTCCAGTAGCTGCCGCACCTAAAAGATACCCAGCTGTTGAGTGCATAACACCCTTTGGTTTTCCAGTTGATCCAGAAGTGTAAAGTAAGAACAATGGATCCTCGGAGTTCATTGGCTCTGGAGCGATGTAAGATGGCCATTTCTCGACCTCCTCATGCCACCACCAATCACGCCCTTTGGTCATTGGAACATCCGCACCGGTACGTCTGTAAACCAAGCAGTGTGTGACATCAGGACATTGTTTCAGTGCATCATCCACAATCTTCTTTGTGCCAATGAGTTTTCCACCACGCTTTCCTTCATCGGAAGTAATGACAACTTTCGATTGAGCATCAATGACTCTATCCCTGAGAGAATCGGATGAGAAACCAGCAAAGACTACAGAGTGAACTGCACCGATACGCGAACAAGCCAAGAACGCAATAACAGCTTCTGGAATCATAGGCAAATAAATCGCAACAGTATCTCCCTTCTTGACACCCATTTGTTTGAGAACATACGCGGTTTTGCAAACTTCTCGCAGAAGTTCAGCATATGTAAGGGTGCGACCATCGCCAGCCTCATCGGCCTCGTAGATGATAGCTGGCTTGTCTGGGTTCTTGATCGCATGACGATCAACACAATTGTATGAAGCATTTAGTTGACCCTCCAAAAACCAAGCATTATCACCGCCAACGAACGATCCGCTGTGCACAGTCTCGAAATCTTTTTGCCATGTAAGAAGTTCACGGGCCATTCTGCCCCAGAACTTATTGGGCTCTTTAATCGATTCATCGTACAGTTTCTTGTATTCGTCGAGTCCTGTTGCTATCAGTTTCCACGATTTCTGCCAAAAGGGAGGGAATTATGAATCTTACCGCTTAAATGGGGTTTGCTTGGATGCTCTACATAAAATTGTTAGTATTTTGCAATGATCAACCGGCATGCGACCTCTCGTGGGTCTGAGGATGGAGAGCTTACTGTCAAACATCTTTTGCGGGGGATCTTTAGGATGATGGGTCAGTAACTGCATGTTTGGCACGGATAGCTTGGGGTTTTGACTCACGGAAAGTGTCGACATCATGAGCTTCTGCTACTACTGGAGTAGATGGCTTTACCTTTCCTTCAGACATCGCTATATTTCTGATATCGTGGTATTGTGAATTGATTGAGATGTGAAAGATGGAGTGAAGGTCTACGCCGCGAGCTTGGTATTTACGAGCTTGGGATTTTACTTAGTGTCACCGCAATGCGGGGTCGTGGAAGTATAGTGTCTCTCCTTTCTTTGTGCGCCAATAGTCGGTGACGAAATTCAAATACGTGATCAGTCGGAATGCGTAAGGTTTAATGCTTGAGGAGAGTGAATAAGAAGAAGATTCAATCAAGTGAGATTACAATAATGAAGAAGAAGAAGTATAAAGAAGATAATGAAAATGAAAATGGAAGAAAATGGGAAAGGAATCAGCTGGGTCTTTAGCTGTAGTAGAATTCGGAGCAATGGACTTTGTGTCGCTACAACATGCAACACCCAAGGTAGTTGGTGTTGGTTTACCCCGGTTAATGAATTTATGTCCTGGTATACTGTTCCCTTTTTCCTTACTTTTGATTGGTTTCTTCATGCCCTTTATTACGATATACCTAATCCTTATTATCTCTTAACAAGTTACAACTCCTTTCCACCGAGTCGCTAGCCTACTATGTGCGAAGCGAATATACTCCGGCGGCTCCCAATACCAATTTCGAACTAATTCAAATAACATTTTCTCGGGATTCCCTCCCCTTTGCAAGGCATGGCTTGCTAGGGATGTGTGTGGGGTTAAGTGCATAAGCTTCGCATTTGTTGTAGGGAAAGAATTCAAAGAATTGCAGATCTTGTGACAATTATGGCTGCTCAGTGTCTATTTTCATCGCTCGGGGTTGTGGACGAGAAGGAGTTGATGCTTCTAGAGTGCTCCTAATACAATATTTCCTCTTATTTGAAATCCTTCGCTATCTCTACCTTGAGGAGACTCATCTTCGTTCTAGCATGTCAGATAGATTTCATTGTTCCTGGTGCCATCGAATATCGAACATCGAACATCAATCCCCACATAATCCTTCTTACTCAGGTCTATTATACCGGCCTCATGTCTCCAGTATCCAATTAGATTGAATTGAAAACGATATCCGTGTTGCCGCAATTCCCAACGGAAAGGAAATTCCACTTATCACCAGCTTAGTAAAGGAGAGAATCTCAGCGCTCTCCGAATGGAAGCTCTCAAGCTTTGTAGTGGGGTTGAAAAAGTGGAACAATATTGAGAAAGATATTCCCCTCGGTCCCTCCAAATCTCAAGGGGTGGTCTGAACTCTATGACTTGCGATGCCGGCGTCGGCTTCGGTTGAGTAGCACAATTAGTATGTTCTATGAATTCTCACAACCGAAGTTATCCAGTCTATTACCTAGGTAGTCAAAAAAGTCACTTCGGACAAACTGAAGCCTGCTCATTAAAATGACTGGCGACTGCTCCTACAACAGAAATCATATATCATATACAAACAGTCCCTCTCTATCGACTTCAACCACGCAATGCCAAGACATATATTCCGACAGGGGGGTTGAGAAGGTCAGCATTCTGATTCGAATCCAAGGATACAACATCACCGAGCTACATGCACTTACTGTACTATTAGACGCTTTCTGCATAGTACCGTCCACTGTAGCATTTGAACATATGCTGTATCACGAATTACCAAACTCTTGGTACCCAATTTAACCAACCTGACCAAGAACCTGACCAAGAAGCCTGTTCCAGAACCAACGGCTCGAGTATCCCATTAGGAACCTCGATATATGATCCCTTGCGTTGATACACGACAGCTTCTCTATCCAGAATCAACTTGCTTTATCAAATATGGTCTTTTCGAATACTACTCTGCTATCCTGCGATTCATCAAGATTATAATTATAGTACCATCCATATAAATGAAATAGCTTGCATGCTATCTCGCCAATGCCGTAATCACGACGGCAACCACGCCGTGATCAACGGATCGACTAGTTCCACGGAGACTAAAAACTAAAACCCATTTTGCTAAGACAATCTTACGTTACCCCAAGAAACCCAAGAGTTTCCACAACACATCGGAGACTCTGGATATTGAATCGAATTCAGTCACTTTTCTTACAATGGGCGGGTAAGCACCCCTCCGACCGTATATCTCTTTCACCAGTTACACAACATGGGGCCCTGACCCCCCATTTCTTCGTCTATCCTGGCACCATACCACGTGGATAACTAGGAGATTCGTCCATGTCCATATACTAACTACTAGGCATGTCTGCGCATCCTTCGGCTTGAGCGAGACCTTTGTTCACCTTTTTTCTATCGTCATTGCCATCTAGCTATGGGATCGCATTCTCGCTTCCTCGCCACTATCAGAACACTATTCTCCTGTAGGAAACGGAGTTAGAGGTCCGCTAATGGAGACTCGGAGAGGATGCCTGATCGATTTCATTCAGTAGTGGGTAACAGGTCGATAATTGGTACATCATATAAACACATAGATAAAATAAATCATTCATTTTTATTCTCATCTAATTTCAACCAAACACCATAGAATTTGAAACGAAATCCCCATAATTCTAGTAAACACCGTTTCCCTTCCACTTCCTCCTCTTTCTTTTACACCCCTCCCTCTCTATCAACCACCAACCCCATTCCCTCCTCCATAACCCATTTTTCTCCTTGCGTCCTTCGTCTCCTCCTTATTTTCTCCGCTCCCAACTCCCATACTATTCCCCACCGTCTCCCCCCCAAACCCATGCTCACTAATCGCCTCTCCATACCTGATATTCTCCGCCGTTCGTTCGCCACGCGCTTTGTGTTCTGCGTCTTTTTGGAGTGTGGCTTCGGAGGGTCCTGTCGAGTCTGTTCCTCGGGGTGAGATACTGTTTGAGATTTGGAAGATAGGCAGGTGACAGGGGGGAGAGTTGGTGGATATGAGAATTTGAAAAGAGGGAAGACGAAAATGAAATAATTACCTCCAAAGGTCCCCTGGTCTTTAGCAGGCGACCGCGTGAATATATTCTGGGATTCGTATCTACATCCATTTCATCAGTATCTTATCACTTCACAACATCTCTCAATAGCTCAATTCTCTTCAATAGTCAAGATATGAAGAGGTAATTATTAACTTACTGTGTATTCTCTCCTCCCCTCTCCGTATCCATCAACTTTGTATGCGTAGCTTCTGTCATTTTAATTGTTTGCTTGCTTGCTTTCTTCTGTTTTAAAGTGTTCTTATTCTTCGTGTGGTTGAGTATATTCTTGATTCTTATTCTGAACAAATTGAATTGATTCAAATGAAATATATAGATGTTGTGTTTTCTCTTTGCTTGTTTGCTAGCTAGTCGATTAATTGATGCTGATCAATAGTGATGACGTATGCGGGGGTTGAAGCTTGGGTATCGGAGCTCTGGCCTTCACGAAAAGTATAAATTACGCCCGGTGAGCTCCATCTGCGATCTGGCTTAGGTATTTTTTGGAAGGACCCGGTACGCTTTAGTTGATTTGAGCTGTTCCTGGTGAGCCCCGAGTTTTGCACTTACCGAAAAAGGTAAGGCATCATACCAAAGCTCCTACAGTATGTACAGTGGTATCCCAACGGATAAACTTCAGATATATAAAGATTGAAGCATGAATTACAATGATTGCTCGAGTCTATGTGCTTAATGCCAGTCGAGGAGGTTTCTTTTGGGTATCGTAATAGACTTAGTATACAAGGAACAGCTATATAAGTTTTAGACTTCCTTCTCTATCATCGGTCATCTTAACTCTACACCCAACTTCCCAGCCAATTCCTTCTTGACCTCTTCATGCATTTTATTTGTCTCTTCGTTTGTTAGAGTTCTCAACAAACTCCTATAATTAATCCTATAGCATATGCTCTTGCGGCCAGTTTTCGGATGCGTGAATTCATCTACTTTTTTAACATCTTCCACTCTGTCTCCTCCTATATCCCTAACGATCTCCATGAAATCGTTCTCATGGAAATCATGCGCATTGACCGCATTACCACCTCCTGCTGAAGAGGATGATCGTAACCAAAAGGAAACATCTTTGTAACATGCGGGATGTTTCGAGAATGGAATATATCTCCTCAGGTTTTCTAGGTTCTCCGAAACTCCTTTGAACTGACTTAGGAACCTCTCATCTTTGGACCAAAACAGTCTGATATCTGGGATTTCAAAAAGTAACATGGCGATTCTTTCCAAACCTATACCAAACGCCCATCCTAATTGATCTGGCACACCTGCATTCTGCATGATATCCTGTTTAACAACACCACATCCAAGCACTTCTAACCAGTCCCCCTGCCAAAAGATTTCCAGCTCCCAGGATGGACTTGTGAACGGGAAATAAGCTTCTATCCATCGTACTTTTAGCGGCTCATCGATGAAATTGGGATCTGCTTTTATGGCTGCTTGCTTTGCACGAGAAAATATCTCTACCACCATCAGCTCCAGGCTCTTCTTCAGATGTGCCGCAATAGCTTCAGCCTCCGCTTCGGTATGCTCTCCTTGTAATGGATTTCTCTCCGCGTGAAAAGGTGGGTTTGGATCTTCTACTTTCATATCATGCTTCGGAAGGGCATCGATGTCTTTCCAAACAGCGGCTGCGATATCTCCATTGGGAACCTTGGTTCTGTCCCACATCCTTGCCCCTTCCATTTGGTGGAAAATAGGATAATGGCTTCGATCGATTGCATCTCTGCGGTACACGTCTGCACTGATAAGGAAACCTTCACTCTGGTTACTGCGAAATACATCTGCTTGGTGCGCACTTGTATGGGTTCGTAACACCGTCTCCTTGTTGATATAGTATGTATCCGTCTTACTTCGCCCAGGATGATCGGATGGAAACCCTAAAGAATCAAAGTTTTGATGAGTGGATACGACAGGAAAGAATGTATTATGGTACTTGTAGGTAGGTGAGGGGAATCTTGATTCGATTATTGAGCGAGTTATGGAAATAGGATGATCTAATGTTGTATGTAGACTTCGAGAGAGGGAATCAGTAATCGATTGTGGCACATTATACCATTCATCTTTCTTATATTCTTTCGAGGTAATGGGATCCGAAGCATTCTTAGCCTTAAATGAGAGGTCTATTTGAAATGTATTAGTTGCGCTTCGAAAATTGAAGGGTTGTATGTAAACGAACCTGCCACTGAAGAATTATATCGACATTGTCCGCAGACTCTCACATTTCTTGTAGCATTATTCCTCAGCCCAATGAAAGTTTTCAAGACCTCATTGCCCCTTGAGAATGAGGTCTTATTTGCTGTAAGAAGTCTCATGGTTATGAGCCTCGAATGCACCAACTTTTCCGTATGGTAAAATAGCTATGAAATGCTGAACTTCCGGAATATCCCTGACAAATCTACCAAGAGGCGGCCGCCTGTCCCGACCCGAAGATATGACGAAAGGGCTGAGCTGACTGAGAAAAGCCCATGCACACGACCTTCTTGATCTTCTTGATCTGGAGAATCTTGGAACTTCAATTCAAATATCCATGGATCAGATAGGATACAAATTTTCGGGCGCCCCTCTCTCTTATCTCCTGCATATCAATTTGTACATATAAAATTACAGAATTACAGAAATACAAAAGCACAAAATATATCCTCAATTACCATCAACAGTGACGGGTGAAGATCACCAATTACATCAAGTACCTACTAAGCTATATTTACAAGCCAAAAAAAAAAAAAAAAAAAACTCCTATCCTAACTTACACCTAACATTAGCAATCAGCCTTTGATCTTCCCCATTTTTCTTTCTGTTCACCTTTTTTTGTTTATCCACTTTTCCTTACGGTCTCTTTCTTCCGTTGGTTCCTGGGCCAATTGCATATATTTCGGTCAATCTCATATCTCATTCTTCAATTCCCGTGTGTTCCTCTGCGGAATCGGAATGAACCTCGAGACGAAAGATCCGGAACAAGTGGAACAATGTCGAGCAGAAAGCAAAGTGTGGGAGAGGTGGTGAAAGCAGAGGTTAAAGTGAATGCTGTAAAGTACCCGTTTTGGTTTGGAGGTAGTGCAAGTTGTTTTGCGGCTTGTGTTACTCATCCATTGGATCTTGGTATGTGAACTCTTTTCTCGGTATGGGAAGTCGTACTATATGTGCGAACATGTTCTAATTATGATACAGTTAAGGTATAACTCCTATCGCATGAATGCGCGAAGGCCAATTCCTCTCCCGTTGCCAATACTGAACATATTGCCGTTATTAGGTCCGATTACAGACTCGATCCGGCAATGCGCCCAATACTATGGTTGGCACATTCGTGCATGTGTTAAAACACAATGGTGTTGTTGGACTTTATTCGGGACTTAGCGCTTCCCTTTTGCGCCAAATAACATATAGTACTACTCGATTTGGCATCTACGAAAAGCTCAAGACGAATCTCACATCAGGGAATAAACCTCCCTCCTTCCCCATTCTTATCGCCATGGCCTCCACTTCAGGTTTCATTGGTGGAATTGTAGGAAATCCAGCCGATGTTTTGAATGTGCGCATGCAGCACGATGCTGCATTACCAGTCGAGCAGAGAAGAAACTATAAAAATGCTGTGGATGGATTAATACGCATGACGAAAGAAGAAGGGTGGAAAAGTTTGTACCGCGGAGTGTGGCCGAACAGTATGCGAGCTGTCTTAATGACTGCTTCGCAATTGGCCTCTTACGACAGCTTCAAACAGCTACTCATTCGGCATACACCAATGGAAGATGGGCTCTCGACACATTTTACTGCTTCGTTAATGGCGGGTTTCGTGGCTACCACGGTTTGCAGTCCAGTAGATGTTATCAAGACAAGAATCATGAGTAGTCATGAAAGCAAGGGATTAGCGAGACTCTTGACGGATGTATATAAGGTAGAAGGTGTTGGATGGATGTTTAGAGGTTGGGTGCCGAGTTTTATTCGTTTGGGTGAGTTCTAGTTGCTACTCCCTGCCAAAAACTTTATTTCAAAAATGGAAAAAGACATCAGGAACAGGAAAGAGGTGTGGGCGCTGATCAAGAAATTGTAGGACCACAAACCATCGCAACATTTCTCTTCCTCGAACAACATAAGAAAATATATCGATCTCTAAAAGGAATCGCAGAGCCTGAAGCCGCGATTGTCTAAATGAACCTTTCCCAGGAGGTTCTTCCTGGAAGAACAACCACAAATTTGCCTAGTCCAATGTTGGACGTTAACTTGTACAGCAGCGGTAATTGAGGGACTCTTCTCAAGGTCTTGAATATGGACCTGTCTCACTAAACCGCCCTTGGAAAAATGGCTGAAGAATCAACCTAATCCTCACAATCTCACATCACGAAGCCCCTAGATAGACAAAGTTCTCTTCTTTCTTCAGCTCCTTTATACATAACCACCGAACCTACATACCTTCCTCAGTATATATAACGACCTAGAAATAGACACTCACGGACAACCTTTTCGGCGTTGGTGGATAGCGATATGCGTACACATAGACTGCTTTATAAATCGGGTTGGATAAAATAGACGCATGGTTCCTCATAGAATAGATTCTAGATTTAATGCACAAGTGCACACTTAATGAATGACGTCCAAACTTTTCCTCCCGTTCTGCTTTCGGTCCATTGAAGACATGGACATTTATAAGTGTATGTTTATTGAAGAAATGTATATTCTGAGAGGGAAGAAATTGAAGTTGCAGTATGATTTCTGTTAGGGATAGTGAATGAATGGCTTAACCCCCACTGCTTGATCTGCATACGTTATATCAGAACCATATGAAAGGGAATATCCTCGGTATCCTCAATGAGGAGGATGTTCGATGTAGAGACGCGCATTTTGATCACTACAGAACTTCAACTATGCATTCTCTATTCAGCCTTCTTAAAGAGAAAAGAACCCAATAGAATTCAAAGTGAAAGGGGAGCCAGGAACCTCGCCAATAAACGTGGCGGCAGGAAAGCAGGGAACTCGGCATATCGGGGAAATGGGGATCGCGGAATTAGAAGCTAATTAATTAGGCGCATTGGTGGCTAGTTTTTGTTGATATTTGATACGTTGGGAAACTCTAGGACTGTTAAAGGTCTTGAGATTTGTGATGTGGGAGTAAAGATTCGCGGAGGGGAATTGGAATTTGTTGGGAGTTGAACTCTTCTCGGAAAGAGTATTGGGTAGGGGTATCGGTGATTTATAGAGCCTTTGCTGTAGATATT